AAGTAATTTGATTAACCCACTTTGCTCTATACTTGAGTGGTAGAGCAGTCATAGGTGGTGCTGGACTCTGTCATAGACGAATGCTGGATAACTTCACCTCGACTGGATATTTTTTACAGCGATTTACAGCGATGCTGCTTACCCATCTATGCAGATCAATTGGTGCTTTGATGCGGACTTCAGTTGGACATACTTGTTTGTCATCTAATGAAGAATACCAGAAGCTTGCTCACTCTTTTACAATACAAGAACAAAGGCTAACGAACTCTCACTACCACCACAGGCATTCACACCACAAGTATTCACCCAACTCCTGTTTGGATGTGGGTGCCTCCCACTTCTACGCCAGGTATCTCATCTGTCAGACAGCTATTATGGACCCTACCAGGTCCTATATCAAATTTTATTCAACTACTTCATCGAACCCATCACGGCCACTATAGATCTGCATTGGCCACCCCATGAAACTGGTGGATTACCTCGAACAGTGTCATAAACCCCTTGCCCTCGTGACGCCTTAGATTCGGTATGTTGCTCTGTCTTTATCGAAGGGCAGATGTAGTTTAAAAAAAAATCTCTGCCCAAGCACTTTATATAGATGGTTAATCACTGAAGCCGAAACATACGGCCACAAGCGTTTGCATACGTCGCAGCCGAAGCCAAAGTTTCACTCAAGAAACTCGCACTGAAGGTGGGCTTCAGCCCCGGTAAGTGCATTTCCACTATTGCAACGTTGACGCTTCTCTGCCTGCAACACCGCTTTCTTGGCTGGTCGTCGTCATTTGCATTTGGGTCGGAAGGCTGTTGGATCCTCGGTGCGCAGTTGCTGCTTGTGCTTCACCACCCAGGCCTGTGCTTGTGTCTGGGCTGCTGCATCGGCTCGGGGAACATGAATCCTTTCACAGATCAGCTGTCTTCAGTTCTTCAGGCTCACTTCTTCAGGCTTTCGTACGATCTGTGCCTTCCCCATGTGGAAGATGCAAGTTGAAAGTGTCGTGGGTGGGCGTGGCGGCAAGGCTGCACAGTTATGAACGACGTCTCTGATGGCTCTCTCATTGGTGTTCTCAAAGCTTGCTTCTATTTACAGACCAGTGATTCATGCTGGATCACTGGGGTCTTCAAGTCATTGTGCTGCCATGTAGAATGCGTTTGGGCTGCAATATTGGAAGAGCACCTCGGGGCTAAAGGGTGGTGAAATGCTGGATAAATGTATTTCGTATGGCTCTCTTCACCTTTGTCTATAGGTTTATCCTGCATTGCAGTGGATCTTAGGAAATGCTTCCCAGGAAATATTGAAGGACTGCATGCCTTCATGGCCACACTGTAAGTTATGCAATTACCATCACCAGTGGCTCGCTTCTGGGGTGTGAACCATTGCTGCTTTCTGTTACAAGTGGTTTACAGTTCGACGACTTCAAAATGCCTGCCTTTCACAGCAAACTGTCGCTGATTCTTCTCGCCTAAGGATGAAGTAAAAGGCTGGCTGGTGATGACTTGCATACTACAGGAGCCTCTCTTAAAAAACGTGCACTATTGGTAGTGTTCCACAATGGGTCAGTCCTTGGGAATTGCTGGATCATTGTTACCTTTCCTCAGCTGTGGACATGTTCTTGGACTTGATTGCTTGGCGATTACTTCATTTCAGCAATGCATCCTTCTGTAGTCTGCAAATGACACAGCAGGATTATCTGTGGCTTGCTTTTCTCAAGAAAAATGGGACTTGGGAAGCACTGGACAATTAACTGCTGTCATCAGTGAGTGCCATGTGTAACACTTGGGCACTGCATTAACCTTTTACGACACTGGAGTGCTAAGGTCTTTGTTTGTGAAGGTCTCCTGTATGCCACTGGATGATTGCTTTTCTGCATCAGTGGATCTTTCCTGGCTGTTGATCACGGCATAACTTCATAGCCGTGCTAGCCATAAGCGCAACTGCGCAGTTTCTTGGCTATGATAAGCCAGCCATGGTCAGCGACGCGTGGCAAGCTCTTCAGTGGCAACCCTGGACAAAGCTGCTTTGGCCACTGAACTCTGCAAACCACTTTTGGACACTTGGATCATTGCTGCCTACATCGATAGATGCCTTTGACTACAGAGGATCACTGCTTGCCTTCATTCTGCATGTTGCTCTGGAAACTGGATGACAGCTTTCTGAGTCGGCCTTCTGGCAGCACTGGATCAGCCTGGGACCTTGCTTGCTGTCTTAAGTGGGTGACTTGTCTTCACTGATTTCTCGTAAGGAACAGCAAAGCAGCCTTCGAATAAGGACATTTCTTGTTTTCATCTATGGATCTCTCTCAAACGATGCAAGATATCTGCTGGCTTTCACCATTGGGCAAGCGGGCACCAATGGCGCGCACACGTTGTTCCAGGATAGCAGAACAATTTTGCAAGAACATAGTTTCACCACTCCTTGAACACCGGTTCGCTCTTTCTGCTCATCACAGAATGTTGGTAATTTTGTAAAACTGTCATTAGCAGCTGTGCGTTTCCCATCAAGTGGTTGCTACAATTAAGGCCTTTCTCCAGGAACCCCTTAATGCTATTTCATAATGATATGACGTCATGTATTTTAAGGGACACCAGAGAGAAACACCCTTATTTGAAAGTAAATGGACTAGTAATTGAAAAAAATGTCATTAAATTGTTGGTGCATGGAAGTCTGCAATGACATGAATTATAAAGTGTCTTTTCACATTGGGCCATTGTAGCTGAGTCTCAAACATTTTCAATTTAAAGTATACTGTAGTCTTTTTTTTTTCGCACTACTATAAAAAAATTTACCGAGTCCGTACACATTCCACCAAAATCTGTGAATATAGCAGTCAACTGGTGCATAAGCTTCAAAATCAAAGTCAGAATTTTATTTCACCTTATATATAAGGAAAACAAATGCTAGTCGGACATGTAGCCAAAGGTTATTTGTAGGGTCGATAAATCAGAGCACCTAGCAAATCGAGGCAATCCTGCTTCTTTTCTTTCAATTTGGCTCCCTAGACATTTTAGCAAGAGTACTTTTTCTGGCATTGTGTGCAGTAGTATTTCCTAGTAGGGCACAAAATCGCCTATCTCTCTAGTGTCCCTGTAAAAAAAAACGAGCACAGTTACGGCCGTTCTCCAGCTGAGAAAACGGAACAGAAAAAAGTAAATGCATTGGATCCGCTTGCTTTGGACTCGAGGCTTACCCGCCACGGTGGCCTAGTGGCTAAGGCACTCGGCTGCTAACCCGCCGGTTACGGGATCGAATCCCGGCCCGTGTGCCTAGGTTCGGGTGCACATTGGAGAAGCCCACGTCCCTATTGCATCTCTCAATCGTATGGTGGTTCTGGGACGTTAAACCCCAACAATTAATATTAGACTCAAGGTTTCCTTGAGTCTAGAAAAGTGCGGGCTGCCAGCAGGGGTGGAGACTGAAGAGCTGGATGTTTACCCTGCCATTGGGATCCACAATTCTGCGCAGAGATCGCCTACGAAGAATAGATAGACCATTTCATCGCCCACAATGGGTCATTTCAGCTGCGCCCCCTGAAAAGTGGCCTTTGCACGCTGAGTGAACTGTGCAAACTTTAACTAAAAAACAGCGTTAAAGGTGCAGTTAAACAAAAAGACAAGGGTACTGTGTGTATCATTGTTTTCTTTGTGCATATGCATCTTTCAACACTGTCTTTTGATTAAGATGGATACATACAAGCTCTCCCAGCCCTCACTTTTGTTGCTGTACAAAACTGCACCCTTGCCTTCTCAACGAAAGCGTTGTCAACCAGTACGACACACTGTGAATGGGGAGCATCGTTACAAGCCTGGACTGTATTTAGGATGGGGTAACAAGGCTCTTCTTGAAAGGGGCTATGGTTTCCTGCAGCAGCCACCTCCATAAATCGGCATTCATTTGAACACGACTGTCGGAAGGCTTCATCAAAATAGTCATTCTGCATATTCTGCTTACAGCGCCGTAATATTCAGAAAACATGATTGCTGCGGTCTAATCTACGAATTGACGAGCTTGTATGGGGGGTGTAAAAGAAAAGTCGGAGCCTGTTCACTGGCCTTTCAAATGCCGACATTCATGGTACCAACTAAAGTTACTAAAATTGGATCTGGTAGGATGTTTATTGTGGGAATCAGCTTGGAAGACTTGCAGCAAAGTATACTAAAAATTGTCATCTGCAAACTGCGAAGCTCATCACGTGCCAATTCTGAGATCTGTGGACAATCTCTTGTGCTCTAACTCGTAGGTCACTCATTGGTTAAGCAGAGGAAAGGACGGTATGGCAATGCTCTACTGTGCTCATCGTTTCCCTGTGCGTGCTGATAAGTACGCTACCACCTGCTTGAGTAGTACAAAAAGAAGCAAGAGGTGACGTGCATATGCAGTGGCCTTAAAATCTAAGCCACTGCTGTGCTGTAGTAACAGTCATCAATGCTAGCTTCTTTACGCTGAATTCATGGAAACCACACTTAGCCCTACTGTAAATCTGTTGTGAAGTCAAAGCAAGTGAATTGATGCAGAGAATGGTAGGTGACAAGGAAAGTAGGGATAAATAGTGGACCAGGCTTATGTCTAGTACTGGCATCTTCACATGGTAAGCAGCTGGGAGAAACATTACAGGTGGCCTGCTATTGGACTTGTCTCGCTTTGCCGCACAGTCTCAGCGGACCAAGCACTTTCCAGATTGCTATGGGCCTGCAGAATTTGCAAGTTCGGTGATCTAAATACCTTGTTCCCTCAGCAGCACTACGACCTACAGCTCACTTGGAATGCCATACTCTACGTGTAGTTTCCTGCGTTGTTTGCTTTAAGCAGACAAGCAGTACGGTGAAACAATCCACTGGGGTATAGTTTTCCAATGACACCAGCGCTGCCTGTAGGCCCCATACGCATTCATCTGCATGCTCAGCCTGACTTTTTTTTGTTAGGCTTTCGTACTGTAGTCACCAGACAGCACGTGCACCTTGCCCCATGTTTCATGTTGCACTGCTCTTCTGTTTCGTGCTTCCAGGCAGCCAATGTACAACGACCTCCCGCATGGACCAGGCCGCGGCTACACATCTGGTATGCTACTTTTGTTAATTCTCGTCTTGTGTTAGAAGTTCTTGTTTTGAAGTGTTGTCTGCCGAAAGGGACGCTAAACAGCAAAACAATTTTTCGGGTGCTTAGTATAGTACGATTTCAATTTCCCCAAAATACCACTCTAGCCACGAGATGACACTTCGTAAGCGAGAAAACGCGTGAAAAAAATGTGGTTGGGAGATGCCACCTTAAGATTCCCACACCGAACGCCGTGAAGTCATAAATTTTGAAGGGGGATTCTGGGTCTTACAAAGCTTCTAATCGATAAAAATGAAGTACATCTTCATTTGCAAGTGCATACCTTTGGATACGAAGTTTTCTAAAAATTTTATCATGTCGCGAAAAAAAAAAAACTCATTTTGAAATTTTCTACATAGTGTGGTTGTTTTGGTGTGAAATTTAAAAATAAAACTTCAACCTTAATTTTCTCTACTAATAAAATAAAGTTAAAATGGATAAATTTATGGCATTGAGTTCTCAGAGTGCAGTTTATTAAAATAAACGGTCTTTGTTCCTCTTTAGTGACCTTTTAAAGGGGTGTTGGCACCATTTTTGTACCTTCGTCCACTCTGGTATACAAATCGCTTGTATACAAGGACGTCTTTGAAAAATTGTGAAGCCGGTTAGGTACTGCCAAAATGTTTTATTTTAATGTTGGAAGTCGGTATCTTCATAGCACACCCACTGTCATCGACATTAGCATGTCGGGCTACAGTGTCAACTCGGGTGACTTCATGCCCCAGTGTAGCTAGTTGTGATGACGACATCTGGCACCAAAACACATCGCCTCTCGTGCATCACCAGTGGAGCCGCGCAGCGTAACATACATGGAAACGTCACGATATCTTGCATAAGCATGGACTAGAATCTCGTACCGTGTTGCGGCGTTGGGGTAGGGTAGGAACCGAAACTAGCTTCGAAGAACGTGCATTTCATTTTTCAGGCCGCTAGCGCAGTAACGCAGTAACCAGTAAGTTTTACGTACTTGTAATGGCCTTTTATTTGATGTAAAAGAATTGACAATTTTCAAATCTGTAGCCTTTTAATCGAACACAAACTTCAAATGCAAACGTTGCTTACGTGCTGCCAAAGTTGACGCTTCTTCACAAAATGTACCCGTTTCTCTCATTGTCATACCTCAACGTACCAAGTATAGAAACAACAAATTGATAATTGTGGCAAAATTAGTTCAGAGCACTCACACCATGAAAACTGTACAAATAAGCATTTCAAAGGAATCTTTGGGTAATGGGAGTACATTTTCAGCAGGTGTGACTGTAAATGCTATGTTTAACTCTTGACTGTCATTCTTTTTAGCACAGTGTTTAATAAGTGCAATCAAGTTTAGTTTCATTTTGTTTTATTGAACTGTCATTTGACCCAAAATTTCTTCACTTTAAGTTAGTACTTGCAAGCTTGATAACGGAAAGAAATAATCATAGAGTTTCATACAATAATACCTAGAGAGGAATCTGTCGCTGCGATCGTGTACCTCTATGGTAGTTATAGGAATTAAAGGCTTCGGATTGGATAGAGTTTGCTAGGGAACCATCTACAAACTTTTTTCTACAGTTTCATTTTCGTTCTTTGCGAAGCGTGGGTAGTGGAGGGGAGTGCAAAGCACTGAAGCAGCGCCTTTGTTGTTCAAAGATGCTGATGACCGCTAGGTCTCCTGATTTGCTGCAATGTTCGAGCTTTACGAGTCGTATTTGAGAGTTTAAACGAAGCGCCGTCCACTCACCGCTGCGCATAGATGTAGAGTCTCATGCCAGTGCATGATATTGCATCGAGTTCATGTTTTTTCACAAACACGTCTTGCCTAAACTCGGTTTAAATCGACTGCAAAACGATGGCGAAGCTAAGCAGACCCACCGTCACGCTCCGCTGACTTTACTTCACAACAAACCTGAGGTTCTTTGGGGGCAGAATACTTGGACAGACACACCTAGCATCGCAGAAGACGAAACGTTACGCGCTTATTACTTAATACTGTACTGTTATTTCTATAAATAGATAATGCGTACTTTCCAGAGAAAAACAAGCATGTTTGTTTTCAAGTGTTGTCAAAAAACTCATTAAATTTTTATGCGAAATTCGGAACGCAGTGGCAGAGCAACGCATACCCTGATGGTTGAATTTGGCCAGTTTTCACTTTTGCCACCTGGTCACAAAAACTTTTTGCAATAAAGTTTGTGTAGAAATAAATGAAGCAAGTTTAAATTAAATATACGCTCATATGAGATTGTTTTATACTCGGAAAAGCAGTGTCGCGAACCTTAAGAACGTAATCCATCCGAAGCAGACCCGAAGCTTGTACTTCCCATAATTTCCATGAGGGTACAAGCCCTGCTGAAAGAGCCCGCGTAGACACTAGCACCAGATTCCCCTCTCGGTATTATTGTATGAAACTCTATGGACATAATTTTGTATCTTTCTTGTTTCTACGTTTCTCTATTAACGTTGCAGCATCAAGATTTGCAGAATCTGAGCACAGTAGAGGATTAGAGAAAGCATTGTGGTGCCAACTAGTGCGAGATTATTAAGTAGCATCGGAAGAGCCATTTGTCACATAGTTCAACATCAGTAGGCTTGCGGTGATTTGTGTTAATCTTAAACTTCAACTCTTGAATGATGTAGCCTGCTCATAATTTTTTGTGGAATAACTGGTTTTCAAGGGCAGCAAACCTTTATAGGTGGTGTTGCCTCCTCAGTATGCTTCTGCTTGATGCATCGATACCGTTTCTCCATGTACTTAAATGTTTATTGGAAGTTGCATATGGAAGATGCGAAGTGGGGTTTTCAAAGGCAAGTTTTGGCTCGGTGTTAAATATTTCATGCTAAAGTTATGGAAAAATATTTAGTTATTGGAAGTAGGATGTGTGAACTATGATACAAAATTATAATCAGGATGGCATATACATAGGAGTATTGATTAATTTTGAAATTAGTGCATAGTAAGTGTGACATGCTCAATTACTCTGGTGGTCATAAGTACTCAGTGTGGCATGGAGCTGTCTGCCAATTGTGCTCATCTTAAGTACCCGCAGTGCTAATCTAGGAAGTGCAGATTTATAACAATATAAACAAATATTTCCGTGTGGCTATGCCGCTGCATCGCTGAAACAGTTCTTGGCAAATTTTGAATTTTTTTTTCTGCTCTCGTATCGCATCCTCTGCATAAAATGGCGGACGAATGTATTGCTTTTGAGCCACATATTGTGGCATATTATTCTCGCGAGTTCCTTTTTCATTTGTTCACACAAAGATGAGACGTGTTGTGTAAATTGTTTGTTGTTTTTCTTGCAGGTTCATACACATGGCGCTAAACAAGCATGTAGACATGCAGCACCACATACGCCAGCTTCATGCAGGAATTTGTTTTTCAGATTGTTTTGCAAGCTTGTTTCAGTTCAGGATCCTGCAATAAATTTCATCTGTCGTCCGTCAATATGCATTGCTGTATCACTTATATTGCGTAGTATCATTGAAAAGTAGTCTGGGCCCACTGTGGTTGCTTTGTTGCTCTGGCACTGTAGGGTTTGCACTTGTCCCTGGATTTTGCTCAAAAGAACAAAAAAAATCTCCAGACTTTAATTTAGCGCAACGGACGTAGGTTCGTTACTCAGAGTGATGGAAGTGTTTTGATGGGAAGCAGAGTGCAAAAACGCTTATGTGCTATGCTTTGGGCGCTCTTGAAAAAAAAAATTCAGGTGATGAAACTTAATCTGCACTTGATGTGCAGCTTTAAAGCCGCTGTCTAGTTTTGCAAGGGGTCTCATAACCGAGTTTGATGCTGCCAGTTTTCTTTAGTGCTTGACAAGGCATGTAAGCATGAAGTAGTAACGCGGAAAACGCCGTGAAACGTAGTTTTGGATCCGAGGCGCATCCAAAGTTGTGTGTGCCATGTATACTGCAAACAGTGGTCGGCGAGCACGATTGCCATTATACGCCGGTGAACAAGCGAGTCCTTAATAATCAATCCTGTATTTGTATAGTGGCTTGTATCACGGAGGCTAGTGCTCACGTGCTGCGCACACGTGCACGCCGTGTGCATGCGATGCGGCTTTACAGCAGAGTGCGTATTCGATAATTCCAGCGACTATACACCTTTTCACAGGAAGGAAAAAACACCGCCATGATGGGCTGTGCACGGGAGTACTAAGACTAAGGGCGCAGCGTTTCCAGGGCATTTTCGAGGGGACGCGCAAATTCGCACAGCCCATGAAGGGCTATGGCGGTGCCCAAGGAGGCAGTTTATGAAAAGGTGAATAGGCAGCGCAACGGAAGGGCAAAATGGCGGACGAGACGGTGATGTTACACTTCTAGTACACTAGTGATGTCGCGAGCGTTTAAACACGTCAGCGTTGCAGAGCGTGAAGACGCGTACATGACTACTGAGAGACCTAACTGCGTCGCATTTTTATCACCGTGTGACAGCTTCAGAGCACTGCTACATGGCGCCGCCTGCGTCGCTAAAATGACCAAATAGCAAGGTTACTTCGCGCTGTCATGCGGGCAGCGCAATGAGCCTGTTTTTGTAACTTTTCAAATCTCTTGAAGAGTTTGCGGTTCTTTTAATCGTGCGTCTTGGCTGATTGTAAGGCCCCTGAAGATAAAAAAAAAAAAAGGCAGATCCCACGTAAATTGGAAATCGATGATATGCGAAGCACGAATGAGAAAGGTTGGTATGCCACTTTCAAATCACCACAATGTTAAGAGGTGAAGGTAAATTATGCCGTACATGACTTCTGTGTCATAATTATCGCTTTGGATGTGTCGTTTACATTCGTCATCACGTCCCGTGATGCCAAATTTAGTAAATGTGGAGCTAGTGAAACGGCTGCGAGCACGCTATAAGCGTGGTATGTTGTCATGTTACATGACACGAGCCTCATGATTATCATGTTTGCACCAGTCGCATACCTTCGTCATTCATTGACGTCACGTAATACCAAATTCGACATATGCGAAGCTATGGAAACGGCCCTGAGCGCATCATGAGTGTAGCATGTAGTCATGTTCACATGATACGCATCTCATGTTTGTCATGTTTGAGCTTGTCTCATACCTTCGTCATCGATTCACGTCCCATAATACCAAATATCGTACCAGTGAAGACAGCGAAACGGCAGCCAGCGCATCATAAACGTGGCATGTAGTTATGTTACATGACTTGCATGTCATGATTTTCATGTTAGGGTCTGTCGCTTGTGTTTGCCATGCAATTATGTCATGCCACACGAGTTTTGCAACATGTCATCTGAACGGAGCCACCCCAAGAGCAGCAAGACCATGAAAATTAAATCATGACATTCATGACATACATATCATAATTTTCATGTTATGACTAGTCAAATATGCTCGTCATATAGTCTTGGCATGCCATACCAAGATTGGTATCGATACCATTATCCAAACGGCCAGGAAAGCTAAAGGTCGTAGGCAGCTAGATAGATAGATATATAGATAGATAGATACGCTCAAAGTCACTGAAGTTCGCTAAGAAATGCTTCGCATTCAAGAGTAAAACGCGTACCCTAGATCATTTTGCACACTGATGAATTGTACTGGGGGTGCCGTTGATTTCCACACTGTTGATTGTACTGGGGGTGCTGTTGTTGCCACGTGTTTCTTGCTTGAAGGAAAAAGGAAATGGTCCAAAGTTTCATGCACTGAATTCCACACGGAGACTTCGAAACAGTCTCCGAGTTCATAATTTTCAGTATGTCTTCGATTTTTGTTCACATTGTTTCAACTAAATTCCACAAAAATTGCAATGTTAATCGCTGGTTGCATTCGCTTGTGTACATAATAATGAGCACAAAACAGTACTAAAAGGCTTAAAGAACCCCGGGTGGTTGAAATTTCCGGAGCACTCCACTATGGCGTCTCTCATAATCATATGGTAATTTTGGGACATTTAACGGCACATATCAACCAAGTACTAAAAGGCCGAGTGAAACAAAAGAGCACGCACCACTGCTCGAACTGACTATTACCTAATAATAATCGTTAACCTTCGAGACCTAATGCACACTCCTTTGCCGTGTATATGAGTCAGTTTGTGGTGATGACCACAGGTATGTAGACTGTATTATTCGAAGTCCTACCCACAATGGTGTGCCAAACCATGAGGGTGCTGTATACCCTTTCAGAGATTGCTCCCCGCACGCCGCCACAATCCTCTCTGGGCTGCGCTAAGACGGAATGGCACACCAAAAAAGCACTGTCAAGGGTCTTAGCGCAACTTTGGGTGTATGCTAGTACACTGTAGCGCAGCTCAGCATGGCAGTATGGCCCATGATGGCGGCGCTTTTTCTCTCCTCTGAAAAGGTGTGTTCTGGGCGGTGTGGTGGGCGTACGACAGTTTTTGACGCGTTCTGCACACTCAAAATTCCGCCTCGTGGTCAACTTGCCAACCGCGTGATCACGGCTCTGTCCAGAAACAGAAACTATGCTGTTAAGCAGCCAGTTCTAGTACGTTCTAGCCAAACCAAGCCAATTTGTCTTGACGTAGTGCGAGGCGGCAAGGCGCGGGTAGTTCGACGTTTTGTTACCTGCTTGCTCTAGTTTACTCAACGAAGTGTGTTGATTGGCGACGACATTGACTGGGTGCACTAGTTTGGCAACTTGTGCGTGCTGAAGCGTGTTTGTCATTCAACGTAAATGCCTCTTCGAAAGTACAAAGGTAAGCCCGTATGGGTGTGTGTGACGGACGCGTGTGGTGCGTGTAGTTTCGTTTGTTAGCGAGTAGAAGCACATGAGTCACAGAAATTGAGCAACCCCCCTGCCCTCAGTACAACGTTTCTAGAACCAATTAGTTTTAAAAGCGGCGAAGGAAACACACGGGCGTCAAACGACGTTCATGGCGGCAAAAAGGCGCCTGCTGCTGAAATACTAAAATTTAAAGGATTCTACGCCCCTGGTTACTCAGGCAAGCCCATCGCTACACCGATTCAATATGCTTCTGTCAAATGTACTTCGTGGACAGACATTGTAGGAGTTCGCGCTGGGCTATTGTTCGACATTCTGTGCTTAAGACCTACGCGGGTAATCCACCATCGCACCGGTCGAGAATAATGCGCAAGCCTCCCAATATATTGCTGTTTACTGTTGATTTTCTTGCCTCGATACCGCTAAATGCAGTGAAGCAAGGGACGTTTTGATGTTTGAAAAAAATACTAGAGCAGAAAGATGATGGAGTGGGCACACATGTTTTTGGAAGAGAAAAATGCTAGGTGATACGACTGATATTCGCAGTATCGGCTTCCCACATGACGTGAAAGCTAGGTAAGGCATTGTTATGAACATGAACCAGCCGTAAAGGGGAAGGGCAGGGCTGAATACCTTTGTGTTGCATTTTGGGTGTGATTGTACGCACACACACTCTCTGAAGATGTGGGCACCACCACAAAATTTACGACTTGTGCATTTTTGCTGCAAGCATTTTTTTATAGTACCACAAAGCACCAAAATTCATGTCCACGATTCATGCATACACGCAACAACATTCATGAATTTTCGCTTAATAATTTATTATAGCTTTATTGATGTGGCCAACTTTTCATTTCCGTGTCTTGACGCGAGTTGGGAAGTGACGTAGCAGTGTAGGTGGCTTGGTCACGTGACCACACAAAGCTGTGACGCACATTGTGTTGTGTTGTCTGCCCTCACATGCACATGCCACACAAGCACCAGCGGCGAGTAATGTAGTGATTGATGCTTTGACAGCAGATTTGTTGTGGAGGTGGCGGAGGTCACTGGCGTCACTGCAGATCTGGTGTGACGTCCCTGCAACTTTCATTGGATGCGCTAGCGATGGCTTTCGGTTGAGATAATGAGCATTTGGGCACACCTTGGAAGTGAATTGAAATGTATCCGAAATGTTTTGCTGTGCCCGATACTTCGTGTGGAGTTCTCTTGCGTACAGAGGAAACCCACAACAGGCTTGTTATAGCCTCGATGGCACCATGCCTTTAAAGGGTAATAATACCTCCTCTCCACTGAGTGAGTGAAACTTTATTTGGTCCACAATAGACGCCAGTTAACTCAACGTAACCCCGAGATAAATTTCTACCCATGCCCAAGTCTCCACTCTTTGTCTTGCATTATCACGCGACATGCACAGAGTGTAGCGCCTGCATTAAAGGCCAGCTGTCAATTATGGCTTGGCACTATGCAACTGCAGAAACAGGCACAAAGACACTTGCTGAGAGCAACAAGGTGTGGCAAGCTTTATTGGTTTTCATGATAATGTAAGTAGAGATATACTCGTATGTTCCCACAGACAAATGAATACAATGCGTGGGGGAGCAAGAGATCCTCTAAGAGCAAGGACATCACGTGGTGGAGTACACCAGGCATTAAAAAAAACAACACGAAACACTTGCAGCATGCCAGGACTTTGGGAAGTATATCTTTTTAAGGACCCCAGGCTTTCGTCATGGCCATTAAGGCCGGCAACGCATGACGACCTGTCTTTAACTAAGCATTGAAAAAGATGACGAAGTTAACCAAGGTACACAATGCAAGCATCTGACAACACAGATAACTGTTCAAACTTGGAAGGTTTCAGACATGAAAAACCTTCGAGTCTTTAATCAAGCACATATACTACAAGAGAAACAAAAATGTCTGGATAGAAATATGGCACTGTATAGATGAGGGTGTCTTTTTTTTTTTTTTTAATTTGCCCCCCATACTTTTTTTTTATGCCTTCCCTTGCGATTGTAAAGCATGCATTTTAGTACATCACCGACCTCCACTGTCAACCACAGCGCGTGCTCGCGGCTACGGTGATAGGTCAGGATGAACACTCGTTGCATCTTTTACCAAATGAATCTCAGGGAAACGAAGAAGTCCCCTGGCGAGGCATGCCACCATGCAAACACCACAAATAGAAAAGAAAAATAAACATTACATACAAATAAGGATCATCCACATAAAAAATATGAAACAAGTGCTACACATCAATGCTTGTATACAAAAAAAAATATGTGTGATGAAGACAAGGGAAGCTTAACGTGCAGGGACCTTGGCTTCGAGTAATACTCGTCTTGCGTCTCCTCGTGCGGGGACGTTTGTGATTTGGGACGCACCGTCGCTCGCCGCTGTCAAAATTGAGACTTGTATCACAGGTAAAAAATGAAGGAGCCTGCAGATGTCCTAAAAAAACTAGACTGTGGCCTGTAGGTTGCGCAACAGTTGCCAACGCTGTTTTGATAACCACCCTCTTGCCTTTTGAATCACAAGACAAGATCATGGCATTAAGTAAAAAAAATTGCAGACTCTCCAAAACGTTATACAGCTCATCCAACACCCGATCTTGAATCTCTCGTCTAAATATAAAAATTCTTTCCAAAATGTGTGAAAATCTACACAGATGCCTCTTTCACTGTTACTGCTGTCAGAGTCCATGTAAGTAGCTAGGCCTGTCTTCACAGAGGGTATGTAATATTGCACATTTGTGGTTTTCCCCCCCCTATTCGCTGCCAGGCACTGGATGATATGGCTGGGAATGTGAGCGTACTCTTGGCTGTAGAGCTGCTACGAGCAAAGGCCTGCCGACATGAGCGTTTTGGCAACCAAGGACCGCTGGTTATCATGATTCTGCGTCGTTCGTGGTCAAGCCCACCAATGTCACAGTGACATCGAGTGAACAAGTGCAGTTAGAAGGAATGTCATTTGTGTTGCACTTCTGACAAATTTTTCTGGACATCTCTACCGGTCTTGCAGACTTCTTAATTGTCAAATGAGACTGGGCTTGTGAAGAGTGTTAGACTATTTGGGCAAATGATGCATGGGTATTTATACTTCAATTTTTGACAATCTTTGCACTTTTCAAAGCAGCTTCGAAGCAATGAATCAGTGCGACCATCTCAGTTGCGGTGGCTGCATTTGTGACGGAGGTGAAAATGCTTGCGACCCGTGTACTTCGATTCATGTGGGTGTCGAAGAACCCCAGGTGGGCTAAATTTCTGGAGCCCTCCATAGCTGCGTCTCTCATGATCATATTGTGTTTTTCGGAATGTTAAACCCCGTCAATTATTTTAAATAGTGTTTTGGCTGGAAAGAGGTTGTAATTGCCTATGTTAAGCTGCAATGGCTTTGGCCGTGCCCAGGTGCGGTGCAGCTGGCATCTTGGAAGAACAGCATTACGCAGCATGTTAGCACATGTACTGTGCTCACGGATTGAAGCGTGACACTTTTTGTTTAGTACATGTGCTACGAGCGATTCTTCACGACTGTTGCTGCATAGCTTGCCAATAAAGGTAATGATGGCTCTGATGTACAAATTCAAGTCAAAATTACTGTTATGATTTCAAATATAGTAATAGTTGTTATGAAAGAAGAATTGTGCAAGGGGGTCACTTTCTATGTTAGGCATAACTGATGAAACTGACAGACAAATAGGCCAAGGAAAATGTGGGGGGATGTTATTTGTGGTTTCTTAACTGCAGTGCGGCTATTCTCAATTAAATTGAAAGGAATTTAAAAGATATTCATCACACTATAGTTAAGAAACTGCAGATAATGTCCCTTATGCTTGTCTTGGTTTCAATAATATTTGTCGAAGTTTTACGTCCCAAAACCTGTGAGGGGCACCTTAGTAGAGGGCAGCGGAAATTTCGACCATTACAATTTGCATTTCTGCATACTATGCATCCACTTACATCTGGTGCTCCTTAACATGTGCCCTAAATCTTTCGTACATGGGCCTAGAATATTCCACCTCCGTCAAAATGCGGGCATGGTGGTGTGGGATTTGATACCGCAATCTTAGAATCAGCAGTAGTGCGCCGTGGCAGGTCACACAAGCTACAGATGCTGAAAGCGGAAAGATGCACAGCACTTAGCCTCAAATTCTCACGTTTCAATCTGTAAGTACTGCACAGTGTTGGAGTATACTAGCATTCAGGTAGTGTCGAATTTATTTTGTCTTATCTACGGCTTCGATGTCCTGCTTATAAGAGGGGAACTAAGACGAGAAACAGCTACGACAATTTACGCAGTAGTTAGTCCGCGAAAGGACACAAGGAAGAAAACTTTTGCCACACAGACTCCAGAACTGCACACTGAGGTGAAAACGAAACGGTGTACCAGATTCACGATATAGTAGGAACCGAAAAAATTCTGAACCCTGTTAAAATCGGGCGAGTCGCCTCTTGTCGGCCACTTTGCCGTAGCAGTTCTGTAAGCCGCTTAATGGAGGTTGTGGAAAAGTATCGCATGAGACAGTGCCAAGCCGTGCGGCGCAGCGAAGTGCGATGCAAGCTGGCGGCATTCGTGCAGGTTTTGCGATGCAGTGGCGGGAAAGATTTGCAGCGTGTCCATATTGCGTGTATGTGTGTATATGCGTCGAGTGTGTGTTGGATATATATAATATAGATAGCATCCTATGAAAAACAAAGCGCTCAAAATGCGCAAGACCTTTCAAGACTCATAAACATGAACTAGACTCAACAATCCTATAGCGATTTGGCTCGATTGTGGGTGGGAATCGAATACATAACATAAAGGATATAAGGAGATATAAAGCAAGCATATATTCAACAGAAAACACTTCGGTTGCACTCTAAAAATGAGCCGTATCCTAAGCAAATAAAAGCAAGAAGGCACGCTGGCAAAGGAAAGCATGAAAATAAAAGAGTAACATTAAAGCGAGTGCAGCTTGGGGATGCGTACTTTTGCGAAACAAGCATAAATAATAATAATAATAAAAAGCAAGGGAATGGCATGCTGTAGCACAGGTTATGCAATACTGTTGTATTTGAGTGTATATGATGCTTTCTAAATTTGTTTATGCTCTGTCCATCATTACGAATAAGGGACTTGGCCATGCTTTATATGAAGTGCCCATCATTGAAATTAAGGCTGTGTTCCAATTCTAAGACAGCACATATACAGTCCTTGCAGACAGCTTAGAAGACAGCACCAAGCCTATGCTGTTCGAGAAATGGAACACGTCTTGACGGCTTACGTGCGACAAGGCACCACCTCGTGTTGAGAAGAGAAAGCTAAAATAAACAAACATAACTGTTGTCTTTTCTGGCTTATTTCATGTTCAAATAAAAAAAATTCAACATTACTCACAATGAGCGTCTGGAGAAAGGTCTGCTTGTGTGCAGACGACCATTCCGACAAGATCCGATCTATCTGAGCGATTCACTGAGCTGCCATCTTCTTTGGACAGCAAAATGGTCTGCATCGCATTTGTCTACATTGCGGTCTTCTCAGAGCTGTCTATTTTGCCGGCTACTTGAGAATTGGAATGGGAGTTAAGATGGCCACCGTCCATTTAGCTGTCTATCTAGCCATCTACGGTGAGTATTGGAACAGAACATAAGTTGAATGATCCGAAAGTCGTTGCAAAACCCGTTGCGGAAACGAGTCCTTTTTGGAGCTAGTTCCACAAAGAAATTCAAGAGCAAATTTTTGTCGGCTTCGCAATTCACGGAACAAACTAGGAATGTATTTTACGATAAACCCCCATTCGTTGTTTCAGAGAGGCGATTGGATTCCCCGACCAAGCTCTGTGATTGTGTAAATCTCAACTCGCTTGAGGAAGGGGCAGTGTTTCGCACTGCGCTGCCATATACGTTTAAACACACGGCTTACACAAGGTGCAATAAGTTTTAGTTTTTCGCGAAATCTGCGCCCTAGGTGCCGGGCATGTGCGATGCATCGTTCAAGTCTGCCAGTAAAGAGCGACGGTTTTCTTCATCTTTACTGCCAGAAATGAAGTTTCATATTTGAAGCAGAGCAGCGCTCTACCTTTCAACGTCGGCAGACTTTTCGTGGGCTCTCGGGCACATTGCGATCGGTGCGTTACAAGTGCCTGCTTCACAGACAGTTACAGTTTTCAAGCGCCGTTAACCGTCCTGGTGTTCCCGCAGAGATCCCCCAAATGGTGAAATGTTGGCACTCTTGCACAGATGAAAACAAACAAATAAAAGAGACACAGTGGCAGTTAATCTCTGTGACCTCGATACAACCCTCTGAGTGAGTGACGCAGCTCGCAGAGGAAAGCATTGCATTTTGTCAGCGCAGGCAATAATCTGCGCCAAACGACCAGCTCTGCGTTAAAAGCAGCAAGAGACGGGCGCAGCATTGGAGAGAGAGCTCGAAGCAAACGAAAAAGGCGATGCTGCAGGCCCCTTGTAGGAGAATATAAAAGATGTGAACAAGAAGCAATAACTTAAGGAGTATTCTGGCTTGCGGGTCATGAAATTCATTATCAAGGAATATTACTAATGAAGGCAAATGCAGAAGAGAAAAAAAAAATGGTATATAGGCTTCATGCGAATGTCAATGCATTTGGCTGGAATGTTCGTGACTTGACCCCCTGGGGCTGCATGCAGGAGACTACATATACAAAAATTGCCTGTCAAATTAAGTGTGCCCCAATATTAAAAGGACACTGAAAATTTATTCATCAATTCTTTTCATGCTTGTTATGCATTTTTTTCTGGCAACGAACGGATTTTCTGTTATACTAAGAAATGAACAAAGCCAGAAACACCACTTTTCTCCAATTTAGTTCCCGAACGACAGAGCAACTCTGCGAGACATCCCGAATTGCATGTCATTATCTCACGCTTTTTCACATTTAGTGTTGGTGATTCTCATGGGTAATTTTTCTGGCACACCAAGCTTCTGCTGTCAAATAATGCTGGCCTATTCATCAATCTTAGACGAATTGAATTTTATTCATTACCAATATTAATTACTGTTAATTGTAACAGTAATTAATATTTTTATTCACTCTTCAGTGTCCCTTTTAAGTATGTTCTTGAGGTAATTTTTTAAGAACTTTTGGCACGGTACATTGTCATCCTGCATACTTAAAGAGTCCTGGTCTGCATGTTGGGGCACTTTTTGACATTTCGAAAAAGTTGAGTCATTTGTATGCCGTCAAACTCTGTCATTTTCCGCAATCTGTGGCAAGATTAGCACTGTCACATATGCGTGCAAGCTTTCTCTAAACTATTTACAAAGCTCTTGTGCAAGCTTGCATGCATGTCTTATGAGGAGTCTTTTTCTCACATACCATCTCACAAGCGATATAAAAATGTATATCTCTCTTGATTAAAAAAAAATTTGCAACTAAATTAACCATGAAACAGTTACGACATTCGCATTCCACGGAATTCTACAGTAAAATGCCACGCTTGCCACAGGTGGGGTCAAAGAACATTGAAATAAAAAGAGTAAGTTTGGTGTATACAGCTCAACCCTGATGATGGTTTTAAGACAAATGTTTCTCCAAAATGAAGAAAAGAACATGAGAGAGTGCCTTGCATCCACACTTGGAATCAGGCTTGAGCTATCATTCAGAAGATGTTTCTTCTTTCCCCGTAACAGCGAAAAAAATCCTATTCGTCACAACCGTGGAAAAAGTACATGTAGTAAAAAGAATGGAGGTATAGCCCTCTGCCAATAGATGTAAAATGATTCTCGCAAAGATAGCGAAAGAGAACAGGCCGATTTGAGTAACTCATCTCAGCTCTGCAATATGGGTAGAGAGAGCGGAGCATTGTAGAGATGGCCTGTAAAAAAGTAGCTCGACCCAACAGAGTGGGATCGGAGGGGTGTGCCCTACAGCCCATTTTAAGAGCGGTAACATCGACCCAGTGCATCGCTGGCAGTCGTACGCACATCGCCTTGCCGCTCTTGGTGTGTGGTCGACAACTTGGAAGAAAAACGGAAGTATGGTACAACAGTGGCGTGTGACTCGGCTATGTACAGTGGGCAGTTGCGGCAGGGCAGGCACTGCTGGGCTCACAGTTCCACCAACGTCACGTCGATGGAGTCCTCGCTGGTCGGCTCCAGCTCAATGATGAAGATGTCTTCGTTGCAGTAGTGCTTGACCATATCATCATCCATTCGTACAGTCACCCTAAGACAGGAGCAGAGAAAGAGAGGAATTTACTAATTAATACCATGCTAATTCATGAAATTATATTTAGGACTAGTAATTAATATCTTGCTACTAATCTAGGTCAAGCTCTGCTAATATTCTAGCCCTGCACGACTGATGCAAGCTGCACGTATTTTATTACATTTTAATATTTTTTTATTTTCAAATAACATGAACACTGTGCAGCGATTGTCCACGTTCACATTCACGATAAAAACTTTCCAGCAATATTGACTAGAGGGAACTGGTGCTGCGATCATTCAGCCACCAGGAAAATGGTGGGTAGTACGGTAGACTAAGTCAGCCGAAATCTGCTAAACGAAGCTGCTGCTTAAATGGAATGACTGCCTCGTACTTGTATTCTGAACCCATATTCATATCTCAGTACTAAATGGAACTCCTGGGAACATACTTCTCCAGTCCCTTGAGGTTCCATTTGATAGTTTACTGTACATGAGTTTGCCTATACTTCGTGCCTGCATCTTCGCACACACTTGTTTTGAGGCTCTGTTTATTATTGTGTTTTGGTTTTTGTTTTGGATAAGGGAATGGCTGGTTGAGAACTTCATGAGCCAATTTGAATTGGTGAACCTAAAGAGTCAAGGGGTTGAAGTTGGACTGCACAACTTTCACGGAATCAACTCAGCTTTGCGACAAAGCGACTGCATGCCATACGAAGCCAACGGAACCGAAAGAATGGACCTTAGGCAAATCAATGCATTAGCCATGCATTAACCATGCATTAGCCAATGCATTAGCAATATTGGCCCAATAGGCATAGATGAATTTTGCTGGGGAATTTCATAAATTCGTATCGGCCGGTTTTGCATCACTGAGAGACTACTGTCTGTTTAGATGAACGTCTCCTAAATTCGTGTACAAACAGTAAAATGCGATGGGTTTGCGAAAAGCCAAGATTGGATTGGGCCGCTTTTTTGTCAATGCGGCCAGATCACGGCCAGAAATTTCAATTTTCGGGAGATTTTCCGGACAACAGTACAAACTTAAGAACTGGTTGAAATCTGGGAGTCTTCCCTAAAATCTGAGAGACTTGGCAAGTATGCCAATTGTATAAAAGGCATTTGTAAATCTTATCGGCCGGTTTTGCATCACTGGGAGACTACTGTCTGTTTAGATTAACGTCTCCTAAATTCGTGTACAAACAATAAAATGCGATGGGTTTGCGAAAAGCCTAGATCAGATTGGGCCACTTTTTTGTCAGTGCGGCCAGATCACGGCCAGAAATTTCAATTTTCGGGAGATTTTTCGGACAACGGTACAAACGTAAGAACTGGTTAAAATCCGGGAGTCTTTCCTAAAATCTGGGAGACTTGGCAGGTATGCCAATTGTATAAAAGGCATTTGTATAAAAGGTCGCACATAAAATGAGAGCTTACCCTTTCTTGCATCTCTTAAATATGTTCTTTAAGCTTGAAGCATCTACTTTGTACTTGCTCTCAATCTGAAATGCAAAAAAAAAAGAAGAACCATGTAAGGAATGCAGCAGTGGCTTTTGAACCTTTTCTTTAAGCATGGCTTTGTTCTGTGATCATTAGAAAAGTGCCAAATCAGGTATACAGCTATCGCGGCAAACAGTTGAAACTATGAGGCAGAAAAAGCGAAGTGCACTCTTTGGGAAGTGAACACGCAAAGGCAAACAAGGACAAAGTATGTCTGTTTATTTGGCAGTTTATTTGTTCTACTTAAGTAAGATGATCCGTCAACCATTGCTTGATCAGTCCACATGCACTGGCTATTAGCTGAGCAAGTGCTGCGGCTAATAAGATAAGCAGAAAAGACCTATGCAACTGCACATTGGCTATTAGGTGCAGGAACCCTTCATGTAAAACAACATGAAAGAATTGAATGCATTTTAGAACTGCTAATGCATATTGTCTGCGCCGCTACTTGTGCCTTGAACAGCCGAGCAGCGTTTGTACTGGTTTCGAAGAAGAAAATTCTAGCTTATCGTTGAACTTTCTAACACAATTTTTCCTAAAAAGTTATCAAAAAATGACTCATATTCTTGGACTTACAGTAAATCAATGGGTATTGCTATTATAACAAGAGCGTCTAGCCTCAAAGGACCAGTAAACAACTTCGTGGTCTAAAAATTGTTTCAAGGACATGTATGCACCCTGCCGGGTTAATAAAGCGACTTACTGCTTTCGCTAGACCAGCCAGCGAAGGTGGCACCAAATGAAGTGGTGTGAAGACAGTTTCCTTCTCCCGTTTGGCATACAGAAGCACTGTGAACAGAGGCAAAAACAACAGAGATGAGCGTCACAGACCAACGACCACAGGTGTTAATTCCCAGTCTTGGGCAAAGCATTTTACTTTTTTATCTACAGTGTTGTGGATTGTGCACTTGCACGAGTTGCGCATCTTTCAGTGGTTGTTCACTTCCCGTTTGAGATTCCACTTCTGTTGCAGAAGTCATGAGCTGGAAATTACATCTAGAGCTTTGTATCTGTGTGGGTATTGCATTGATATCCGCTATGTGCCATGCATATGTGTATGTACTGTAGTTCAATACGTTAAGGACGAAAGACTTCTGTGTGTAGAGTAGAGAGTACCACCGTCTTTGACGTCAGTACCACTTAATTTAAGAATAAAAGGGACACTAGAGTGAAACAATGACATGAGTGAAACAACTGTGCTCTGAGAACACTAATGCCGTAAGTTTCACCATCATAAGTTCATCATTATGGGAGAAAAATCAAGGTTGAAGTTTCATATTTAACCTTCTCAGATGCCACCTATGAATAACTGTCTGCAAATGTGTCAAACCACTACAACGTTGCTTCAAGGCACTCAGTATTCTATTGTAACAAGAATAATGAGATAATTGTTGAATTTGTGTGTTACATAAGCTCATTCCAATTAAGTTATAATTACATATGCCTTTATCCCAATGTCATTGATGCTTACTTCCGGCATAAGCAGAATCAAATCTCAGGCTAGGAACATTGCAAACTTGTTATTGGTTATGTCAATCTTGAGCAAAAAAAATTCTGCTTTTCATATCGCTTGCAAGAAGCAGCACGTCGCACAACTCGTCATACGTGGTAGTGCCTTCAGAAAAGTGATAATACGTATCGGTGCACTGAAAAATGAAGTCAGTTGAAGAAAAATGTGTTATGCAAGAGGTTCAATACATTTGAAGTGCGATATAATCTTTCTCTTTCTTAGCCTCTACTTAATGCAAATAGCAAAAACGAGTGGTGTACACAATTGTGTACATAGCATCTCAAAGGTTTAAATTTCACGCCTAAATCTCTACACGTGATGTCACCTATTTCAAGACGTATTTTTCGTATTCTCGCAACATTGGCTCAAGAAATTTTCTGAAACTTCGTAAGTTACAGGGTTCATTCAAGTTTACCAGGCAAAAATCGAAAGGTTTTCAAGGACTTTCACGGTTATGCATGCAAGTTTTCACGGACCACAATGTCAGTTAGGAACCCAATTGAAACATATTCAGGGGATGATGGATGCTGGGAATAACTAAAGCTTCATCAAAAAAGGGATGCCATTGCTAGAGCAGGCATTGAATACATGGCTCGAATGACATTTTCTTTCCAGACAGTTTTCAATCATGGTGTCCTAGAGCTGCACAGATAGCACTTTCAGTGAGTATGACATAAGACGCAAACATTTATTCACATAGCAAAGACTTAAGAAGAGTTATCATGTAATGCCTTGTTGCATATCTTGAATCTTCATATCAATGACCGCTGTCTCCTGCTGCTTGGTATTGGCTGTCTTACTAAGTGTGCTTGACTTGATGATGCACATCAGATTGTTAGTTGTCTCTGCCTTTCTGCATATGAGTCTGCTGTAGCTGTTAATTTCTTAACAGTGCCTTCTAGTTTCTTTTTCTTTATTTTGTAAGCATTTCAACATCCTCTTTAATGAGACATTTCTTCCGTTTCTCATCCTCCTGCTCTTTCCTTTTCCGAGTTTCCAAAAATGCATGGTGTTGGTTCCTCACAGAAGCTACTGATATGCTTTTTTTTGTGATGGGCACATCACATGCGCCACTGGGTGCATTTACGGCACGACAAATAATGTTCTGTGAAATGTGTGGCAATGTTTATTTTAAAAAAAATTGAAGGATTTGTGCAAATTTCAGCACTTTCGAGGCATTGAACACAAACTGTTCAAATTCAAGGGTTCTCAGGGGTTTCAAGGACCCACATGAACCCTGATGTTAGGTCTGTTACCCCAACAGATAACAATGCACTTCATTTTCACCGATTAGGAACTGGATAGGACCAAGTATATGCCGTTCTATTCTACGATGTCATGACAGTTAGTGCGGGAATATTAAAGAAATGTCTACACTCGCATTTCCTTTTCACGCGTTTGCTCGCTCACCAAGCGTGGTCACGCGGTAAGAGTGCCATTTCCAGGATCGTGATATTGTACAATGCTAGTGCGCAAAAACTAGCGTTTCTCTTTACTGTTATAACCATACGGTTGGTTGCCTGTCGCATATGCCACTTAGAGGTGAAGCAATCTTTGCCCACATGGTTATCGATGCAGAAAGTATCCCAAATCACTCTCACACCTACCTCGATCACTTGGATACACCTTGATTTTCTTGAGCGGTGGACTGATGATGGCTGAATCATTGGCACATGGTTCAAGTTTCTCCCTCCTTTCGAGCCTACAGATAAAGCAAGCTTATTTCAAGACATGTCCAAAAAGAAAATTTCACTGCTGTTTTCAGTTTATCCTTAAGTCTGCAGTGGATACATTTTAGAAGCACATAAGTGTATGTGGTTTGTTGGAACATTACATTGCCTATATTCAAAACCATGCATGACATCAAGTTTTAGAAGACACACTGTTGCATTTAGCGTGAAATGGCTTCCTTTGGCTGAGCTTGTCGACATCACTGACAAAAAGCTGCAAGGAGGAGCAGTATAGCTATGCTAGTTGGTAGCTTTAATGGAATAGGCCTCGGCTGCACCGAAAAGCAGTAGCATCTGGACGTGGAATGGTCTGGGAACCACAAAAGCTTAGGAGCTAGGAATATGGCACTATTTTCTTGTAATCCTGAAGCTGAAGCGATAGCCTTGATGTAATGAACCACTGTGCTAATTTTAGACAGTAAGTGGCACATTTCCAAATCTGCCAGTAAGTGGCACATTTCCAAATCTGCCTAGCTTCAAAATGTATCATTTTGTATTACTCTAAGTAGTAGTCTTAGGAGATATAGCTGACAAAATAGTGTCTTTGTTGTGGGGGTTCTGAGCCTCTCTAAACTTGACAATTTGACTACTACTATTTGCACAAAACATTTCATAGAGACTAAACCAGAATTCTAGTTGCGACAGTCCAAAGAACTTTATCAGTGTCTTCTGAATTCAATTATTTTTCTAGCAAAGAAAGGTTTTTTTCTGCTAATTTCATAAGTCTGTCGATACTCGGCTAAGGCTTCCTGTAAAAGATGAATGAGTAATTATAATATACACACTATACTATGTAGATGATGGGCATGAAAAGACCTGCATACAGAAATAGGAACCAAACCATGTTCTCTATTTCACATGTGTGTCTGCCTGTGAGTGTGCCTGTGAGTGTTACCGCAGCAAGCAAGCTTTCTGCTGCAACACTCACGTAAATGTGTGGTTTGCTTGTTAGTGTTCATCATTCTTTTTCACTAATTACGCTCTCTAACTCCTTTAATCCCTATAACCCATTCACTGATGCGCAGGGTAAATTACGACTAAATCTGGATAGAGCTCTATTATGTAATGCGAGACTTTACGGCTTATGCGAGGCCATTCTCTTAAACTATCTTTTAGTTTTACCACTTCTAATTTCTTCAATCTCTGCTATCAACGCTGCGTTAGCCCCCATTATGCTCACTTGTACCAACATAAATGGAAGCTTCACTATACTAAGTGCTCTGAATGTGTATGTACTTGTGTCCCTACATGCTGCCAAGTAATGCAACGAGAAACGCTTCGCAATGCAGAACATGCTGTAGAACACTCAAGCCTTCATATAATGAATATGAATACACTCAAACCTTGATATAACGACTTCAGACATAACAATTATTTGTTATAACGAAGTGACCAATAGCTTTGCCTTATTAGAGTGTTACTAATAATTGCTTATAACAAATTTTCGAATATAACTGAAGTATTTTCCTCACAGGTGCGAGTTTGTTATGGTGAGGTATGAGTGTACAACAAATGATAAGTTCAAATGAGGTAAATAAAGAATAAGTAGTCTTGTCATAGATACAGGGTTATGGATATACACTCACAACAAATTTTTGGATATAGTGAGGTCATTTTCATGTCGGGATTTCGTCATGATAAGGTTTGATTGTATAGATTTCGCAGCTTCCATAACTCCCAAACTTTTGCATGCTACTACGTATAGTACTCAACAAAGGCAGGAAATGGAAAAGACAAACAGGACCTTCCCAGCTGGTGCAAATGAGGCTGCTGCTGTCATCAGCAATGTTAGTGCAAAAGGAAAACACTACCGCGCGTGTACAATCTGAAAATAAAATAACGTTTTGATAACCCTGCAACGTATCCATACCTGGCCTGCCCGAATATTCCAGGCCAGTCAGCAGTCGTCACAGCAGCAGCTGGGAGTTCCTCGGGGGGTAGCTTTATTTTTCTGCGCACAGAAACAGTTCAAACGGCATGATTCCATGCACAAAAGAGAACAGCGCCAATGTGCATGTCTTTTGAAACCAGTCAGTGTTAGTCGAGCTTGAGAGTGAGCATGCATCAACACTGAAATAAGGTTGATGAATATTCGCTAAACAAGTAACGTCGGTGGAGCCTTCATCTCAGCTTTGGTGCTTGTTTTTTTTTTTTTTTGAACATCTCGATCAAGTTCCCTCGTTGAAATGTTAACTGTGTTGAATGTTCTTCAGCGTTTGTTCGCTTCGAATCTCTGTCTCCTTCTAAATGCCTGTCTTATTTTATACTCTTGAAGATTGCTAGGACCTACGGTGGTGGACTTAGTGGTTATCGTGTTATCTAGTCCAGGCCACACCAGCCACATTTTGATGGAGGCAAAAGGCCTGTGTGCTTAGATTTAGATGCACGTTTTAAGAACCACAGGCTTCTGGTGCCCTCCAGCACAAGATCTGTGACGACCTCTGTGGTTGTGGGATGTAAACCCCCAGCAATGATCATTATTGTGAAATTCTGGTTAGCCTCTAAACTATTAATTAAATGTGGCATTGCTCTGCAAGTTTGAGTTGAGGCTAAAAACGATATGCCATAAAAAAAACTATTGAGCTCATTTTTTTAATGGTTTTGTTCTTTAACTTAAACCGAGCTCATTAGATCGGGAGCTCAAGAATATGTTCACAAGATTTATTATGACCTGCAAAAACTCTTTTTACTAACCTAATTGACCTCAGTGCCCCTAGTTCTGTATGGACTTAGGCAGCAATGCCTGTGCAGGGTAATTCAAGTTAAGCTACCATATTTTATCCTGCATTATCTACAAAAGATATGCTTAAAATTTGCACCTTAACTCTGGTGCGGGTCAGTGCACAAGTTGACTCTACGGAACTGCTTCAAAGATAATGCAAGGAAAGCAGGTTCATAAAAATACGCGGGGATTCTTTTTTCCAGATTGAGGCTGCGGGTTACGTGCAGGGGTGAGTTATACCAAAGTACCTCAAACTTTCTACTTTGTCAAGCACTAGGAAAGTGTAAGTGGGCAATGTCAGCATTGAATTCAATGAAGTTCATGTCTTAGCATGCGAGCTGTTCATGCTGGCACCTTGGATGTAGCAATGTTTGTGAATTGTGCTTACTCGGCACAGGTTGGATCGTCCACCGCCATCATTGGGCCTGTGTAGAAATTGAGGTCCATTCCGGCTACCTGCAGCAAGGCAATTCATTGACAATGAAGACTAGTGTGTTGGCTGCACTTAATAACTTGCAACAGAGTGAGTTGTGCATCAGTATGTTTCCCACAGAAAGCTTTAGCACATCTGTCTATGCATCCTGGAATGATCGTAAATTACAATACAAAGAGCTAATGGATTGATCAACAGGAACGGGACAAGCGCTGACTTGAGAAGTTGATAAAAAGAAGCATGACTGAGGAAACATGGCATACGTATTGATTTACTGTTTGTCAGGGCACCATTTACATCATTGATGTTGATTGGCAGTGGAGTTTGTGGACAGCAGCAATCATAGTGGTACTCGTTATTATACATCACGTACACACATTGGCGATTAAAGTTCAAAATCTGCCTTGTCCCATGCCAGCTAGAAGTCCCTTGACAATCCTAACGTGCTTTTTCGCGCAACACTGGTGTACGCTGGCAAAAGAGATTTTAGGCACCAACGTTCTTTAGGACCAATGTCCTTAGCTTTTATTATTTTCTTTTGACGGTGGTGCAAGCAGTGTTTTTTTTTCTTTTTTGGCGAGAATTATGGCTGTACCCATTAAATTTAGAGGATTGCTCGAAATATGGGAATCTCCCGGCCAAAATTGGCGGAGTTGGCAGGTACACAAGCTCATCTAATTTGCTAGCTTACCTTGTCTGCATCCTCATTTGGTGTGAACAACACTGGAGGTTTATTGAGATCACTCATGGAGTAGAATTCGGACCTATCACAGGACTGGTGGTACATCTCTTCAATCTTCTTGCGCCCATCTGAAGGTTAAACATGTGCAACATCTGTTGGTACAACTCATTTTTTTACTCTTTATACTATCAGCTGCTCAGTTAAAAGTTTTTGCAGCTCATATCTGGAGGCATCGTTAAACAATATACGTAGAGCATGCACTATTTCTACTTGCTTTAATTGTCCGCATGAAGATTGTCCTTGTTAAAGTGTTCAAAAAAAAGAAAAGGTCAGTCATATTGTTTCACTGTCTACATGCGGAAGCAGCCGTGACGTGTAGACAAACCATCAAGGTTCTTTTCGTGCAATCACAAACTTGTGCATTTGGTGTGAGCTACTATTACAAAAAGAAGCTTGTTAAATTTATGTTTATCTTCACTGTATTAGTACCAAATTATCTCATAGTATAATGTGGAGTGGAGATTAAAACATCACGCATGCTAAACCAGACACACTAGTGCTTTTTCCCACCCTTAAGGTAACAATCAATTATTCATAAATTTATGTTATTATTGAGCTTATATTTGTGCAGTCCATTCTGTAAAGATATTTGTGGAGTAACACACACACAAATGAGAAATCTTTGCAGCTAAAATACAATTAGTAAAGCAGCATTAGGTGAAGCTTTTTGCAAATTGATGAAAGATTAGCTGAAAGCTCTTTGATTCATGTATGACTCGCTGTTTCTGCTATATTAGATTTATGTGTTCAACTGCCACCAATAATCAATTTACATTCACTCTCGTGCCATGACTATATCCGTGTGAAACATTGCTTAGCTTCAAAGGTTGCAAGTGATTAACTAAAATGCCAGCATAACGATCCCAGATATAATAAAATAGATGAAAAATAGTCTCCAAATAAGTATAGTGTTAAGAATAAACCTGTACAGCATATTTTCAGATTTAACGAACTTATTTTCGTGTAAGATGCAACAATAGGGTCCGAGTGTACATTCTTACATTTACAAATATACAAATATGCATGCTTCAGCCAAAAAGCGCAAGCGTGCGAGTTCAGGGATGGTTATCGCAGTGCCACTAGCAGGAAATCTCGGGGCATGTTGGGATGTTAATAGATAATGTTGTAAAATACGTTCACCAGCGTGCATTTTTGTAAGAGCTTCAAGTGCAAATTTCAAAGAGCTTCAAGCAGATGCGGGGTAGCTTCATGCAATGCACGCAGCGTGCTGTGTAGGCTTGTGCGAATATGTACATTATTAAATTTGCACAAAATTTCTTTAAGGGTGGTTTTACTGCAGTGAAGTGGTGCTAAGCTGCGAAAACACCTATTGAAAAGCTGCACTTATGTGAACATATTACCCTCACATTGATTCATCATTTTTTACATATAAAAGCTTGTTATACCTCTTTATATGCTCTAAAAACTTATATGCTATATGTATTGCAAATATTAAAAGATAAGATGCTTTACAGGTTTTCACTTGCATTCTACCAATAGTCAAATTCTGCTACTACGCAGAGCGTATTCTCTTCCTCTCAATGAAAAAAAAAAGCATTTCAACAGGCTTTGTTTCAGTTTGAAATATATGGATATTGTGCAGGTTAGTTAGTTCGTGAGAAGTCCGCCAATTTTTCTTTATAACATGTGATATACGTATACACTATTCGATTCAAAATTGACTAAAATCACTATTCGCACAAGCCTAGTGCCACGTTAAAGCACCGCATTCCTGTGTATCGCTTGCGGGAAGAAACCAAAGCTAACTGCCTGTAGCGTTGAGTTTTCGCTTGGCCGCCCTCCGTTCCTCGTCCCTGGTCTTTCGTTCAGCGCCCTGCAAGCAAGAGTTGAAGCAATGTGCTTAGACGCTCTGTATGTAATGAACGAAAAAAATACTTCTGTTCATGGCAATAATGTATTTGGTAAAAGCCATTAAAGCAAGACTGATTTGAAGGAGGCCACATATATTGAAGACAAAAATTGTCAAGGCAAAGTTGCCGTTGGACGAATGTGACCGTTGTCAGCTATAGTGGAGAGTACATGAATACAACAGGGAATGCATCGGGTGGCATTTTTAAAACGCCACCTCTTTGCTAAGTAATTACAATTAAGTCCTAAGAATGTTATTCAATCCTTAATGCAACTGGAGAGGCCAGTTCAAGACAGGGGAAGTTGTTACATGCAGTGTGCACCTAAATACACTCGGAAAATGCTGGTATAGGTATCACATTAGGGAAGAGTGGTAAATTGCTATGGGTGCCACCATGTTATCTTATCTTCACCTACTGGCAGAATGTAAAAGTTGCACAAAATAAGTTTTCAGCCGTCTTCGGAATGATGGGGAATGCATGCATGTTATCTCTGAAATGCGTTAAGAACATTCGTCTCACTACCAACGCACTCATGCAAGCTCAACCAATGTGACACACAAACCGTCTCAGACAGCATCTTTTGTTGAAGCATTAACAGTTAGAATAATTTTCTTTTGTATACTGATGAAATCTCTCATGTAGAAGCAGTGTATTACCTTGTCGCAGAAGACTTTGATTTGGCAGTAGCCTCGGTGGACTGGGGTGCAGCTTTCCCTGTATTCATCGTAGGTGTCGATTTGCAGGTGCAGAGGCAGACCCTGTGACAGATTGTAAAAATGATCATTGTTAGAACAGCCATTTTTGTTGCCCGGGATGCCTAGAACAAGAGACTATTCTGGCATTTGTCATGGTAAAGATAGTATAGTAGTGTGCATGAAAGCTCAAACACGATTTTTTGATTGTGTATAATAGTTCATATAATAACTTGAGTTATGCTTTCTGTGGCTACGCATACAGTTTCTTGATTTTGGGTGATGTAGTGTGTATGCAGAGGGAAGATAATAGTACGTGTAAAATTGCTTTAATTTTAAGCACCAGCATTGCTTTCTAATACTGAATGAACCACATACCAGGGAGTGGCATGATCTGAGGACTACAGTGTTTTTCCGAAACTGTTGGTTATTTTCTCCGTGAAGGTGCATATGTGAACCAAACGGACACGAAAGTTTATAGAATGCTATTGCTGCTTTCGTAAAAAAAAGTCGCAACTCTCACCTTGACACCCTTTTGGTTACTGAAGTCTGTGCTGAGACACTGCACGGCCACGTTCACCTGCACAGTAAAGGTAATTAACCAATTTAGTAATAATCATCAGTTATCATTACCGATCGTAGTCTTTGGCAAAGCACAAAGCAAAACAGTCGACCCACCTTGGCAGGGTTTTCGAGAGGGTTCCAATAAAATGCAATGGCGTTGTGAGTGACCTCTTCGATTTGGCCAATAATGCCCATGCTGTTCTTCGTGTCTGCAGTAACAGCAGGAAGGAAACATTAATATGGTGCACACGATACGGGTTACTGGCAACGCTGGCGCAATATTGCCACATTCCTTTGTCAAGTTTTGTTACTGCCCCATTACTCGTGTGAGTGCTGCCTTGCACGAACTGCACCAATGAGTTAAGAGCCACCGATATAATCGCTAGATCGGTTGAGAAGAATCACGGTTTACCATGCGTGTGCTTCGTTTCAAACGTTTGTTTACCAGCAAAGCCTTTTTCTTTGAAGGGTTTACCAGCTTGCTTTTCATTTTTAGACTGTTAGAAATATATAAACATGTAAATTTTTCAATGTTATAAGGAAAGCAGTAGATATTTTCTGGTATGGAGCTGCAAAAAGTATGAATTGACCGAATAATGCAGTTTAGAATGAGAGGCTTTTGAATATACTGAAAGAATAGAGGTTCCAACCAAACAATTTAATTTTGTTTGAATTTATTGAAAGTATGAATTATCATGGTTTGAATTATTGCAAGTCTACTGTACTTTGTTATAACTGATTATTCGTTATACCTCTGTTCGTTATATTGAAGTTTGAGTGCAGCAATATTTTTACTATGCAGCTTTTCTTACCACAAGGAAAATTTATGGCATGTACAGGGCACAGAGAAGTGTATGTCATTTATACTGTAAAACTCTGGCAAGTGTTAGGGGCACAGAGAAGTGTATGTCATTTATACTGTAAAACTCTGGCAAGTGTTAGGGGCATAGATGAAGGCTGTTCTTATTTATACCTGCCAACCTGAAGACATCTGAATTGGTAAACTTCTGCAGAGGGACAGAAAATGAAAGAGAGGTCGCGTATGTTTTCATTTATTGTTTCACAGGGCCACACAAATGTCACACACAGTTCTTAATTATTGCGAGTAAAGTTAGTACTACACGTAATTATATCATTGTTGCCATGAAAGTACAAAATGCACTGTCCCCTCTAGAAGTAGGTGGCCCTTTCCCACTCTTCAGCATTCTTCACGGTTTTATAGTTCGTTTCTGTACTGTGGTAAAGCAATAATGCGATTTTATTTGGTATTTCAACATGTTTGCGATGCTTTTTTCATGATGAAAAAAAAAAAAAACAACTGAGAAACCTTAGAACCCCATTATTGGACTCTAACTTGTACATTTTGTGAAAAATTTTGCAGAGTTTTCAGATGTCTTTATTTGAGTTACATATGCGCCCGTTTTCTCTAGTAACCGTGCTTGCGTGCCTTATTTTTCTATAGCAAAACGCTGCCAACTAGCTAGACCATTTATTGTTCTGTGTCATTTTAAACTGCGATCATATGAGAATGTCATCGTCTCATTTTATGCACACAAGAAAAGTGCTACTCACTTGGCATCTGTAAAGCACAAAAACAGACAGACGAGAAAAAGGAAGGGGTGTTAGTCAGAGAAGAGCAGGAGTTTGAAAGATTGGCTATACTCCTCAAATGCACGTGTGCCATTTCGAGTGTCACCTACCGGCATCGAGGATTCGTTGTTTGACACTGTGTTGCCGGCTGTGCCAGAACTGCCACGCTTTGATTTCATCTTCAGGAGATTTCTCTTCCCGGAACACGAGCATGATGAGGCTCTGAAAGCACGAGACAAAAAATTCAGAGAACCCCTGCTGAACACCTATCTTTGTCCCTATTTCTTTGTAGATTTCTGACACAGTTGAAATTGGATATATCGGATCTGTAGAGAATCACAAAAAAATCTTTACTACAAAATAAGCAATATTACATGTAAAATCTTACAAATATTTTTTTATGTAGATTTTATAACTGTTCTATATATATGGATTTGACATATACAGGTTCGACTGCATTAGCCAAAGTTACGTCTTCATTAGGACACACATGTGTGTTTTGGGAGGGGCACCGTAGTCTAGGTAGCACACTGCTGGAATTATTACATAGGTGTACAGTCGAAATCCTTTATAAGTGACACTGATATAAGAGACAAATGGGTATAAGAGACAGCTGTATACATACAGTAAAATACGGGGGATGGAAAATGCATACGAGGTACACTGCTTATGAGAGACATCTTGTAGTAAGCGGACAAGAATGCATGCCTCTTATAAAGGATTTTAACTGTATATGGAATTGTGTAACATTGCTTTCATAGAAATTATATAGAGAATTCAAATATTTAGCACTTAACTGTGCATGTATCAAGAATCAATAGTTGGATTTTTTCGTGATTTGTTTGAGCTGTAATTAGCTTATGTAATGCGGTCTCGTATGAAGGGTTAACAGCCACAGGCCGCATCTTTCAAAAACTTTTGGCAGCCTGCCTGGATGCCTTATTTTTGTTCTCGCTATGATGCCCGAATGATCTCGTTTGAAGGCCCAGATGCCCTCGTTTGAATTCCCGGACAACCACATTGGGATGTCTGTATTACCCTATTCCTGAGCAAGCATGATCTTGTTTGAGCACTCAGATGAATCATTTGAATTCCTAGATGACCCTGTTTGAGTCATTTCGAATGGATAAAACTAGAACAGAGATGTCCTACTATACAATCCACCATCTATTGTTACATGTAAAATGCCTGTAGATTCTGAAGAAATAAAAATCGGAAGCAAAGAGAAAGAATATTGAGACATCCGGTACAAAGTCTAGTACGACTGAAACAAAACGCCATAGCAAAATAAAATGGAGTGATTGACGAATACAATGCGCTAAGTGGTAGACAAATTTTCCTCTATATTTTCATGGGCATAAGGTTTTAGCAAAAGCCATATAATTAATTGCTCAGTGAATAAGAAAGGCTTCTTTTTTTTTTCCATGTTCTAAAAGTAGCACAAGAATCTAGACAGAATAAAAAAATAAGTACAACAAGCGTGTGAAAGTGCTGATTCTCAGCTTACAGAATTTCAGGTTTTTCCCTACAGGTATGTTTTCTCATGTTTCATGTCTAAAGAGTCTGCTATCAACATTTTCAAAAGTCTGGGCACTGTAGAAGAGTGTAAAGTCTTTAAAGCTAAAGCTGCATGCCAGTGCTGAAGTGATATGGTTCTGCATATGAATGACCTTACGCAAGACACAAAGGCGTCACCACCTTGCACTGTTGAATCAATGTTTTTGTGTTTTGGCATATCCTGTTGTCAATTAAAAGGTCACAAAATATTGAGTGCATCAAACCAGTGGTTTTCCTGCATATGTGTTCGCTGTAACACTATTCGTTTAGTTTTTGCAAAGCAGCGAGGCTACAGCCCAGCATGGCGGCATTAAAACCCATCCCCAGAATAATCTACAGAAATAAGCCTCAAAACTACTCACTTTGACTGGGGTGTTTCGAAGAGGCTTGTCCGGGTCGGGGACGTACTCGAGCGTAATACCGTAGAACTGACCTGCTGGAACAACGGGGTACACATCAAGTTCCAATCTGAACAAATTTTCTAGGCGTACTAGCAACCAGATGAAGATGAGTACGGTGATGCATATGGAAAACCAAGGGCATGAACTCAAGGAAAAGCACAGCTGGGTGATATTTTAGTTCACATTCAGAGAAAGTATATATACTCTATTAGTAGAGTATGTCAGGTTACAGAGAAAGCTTGCTATTGTTTGTAGGTTGGGTGAATTGGTCCGTCATGCTTTCTTTGTTGTCCTGGAAGAGGGCGCAGATATTCAAAAACTGTTGTATTCGATTTTAACAGTGCACTATTCGATTCAATTCTGTTGAAATCGGTGCAAATAATTACATACCTGTACCAAATTAATTTTAGTTGCCAGATTCCATTCAAATGTGGCAAATATTCAAGAAATATTCTATTCAAATTGTAGTTTGGTTTATATATTTGAATGCAACTAAATGTTGAATATTTAGTATTCACACAACCCAAGTGCACAGTCATTAGATGGGCTGTACTTGGAAGACTAAAAAAGTGTTTGACTTGAGTAGAAGGGATAAAAGTGGTTACCCAGACCGAATAGACTGGGAAAAAAGTACAATTGAGATCAGAGACTTTAGATGATAGTGACAAGGAAGGAAGTGACATGCAGGAGATGTGCCAATAGAATGATGATGATGATGATGAATGCGAGATAGAAAACCGGGCCAGAAGATAGCTCACCCTTGTTGATGTATGTGATCCTGTCGTCCTCTCTCCTTTGACTTGTTGAGATGGGAGACTCCAGGTAATACTTGAACCCTACATCTGATTGGCTGTGGAAATATGAAAAACCACAGGTCAGCCACAAACCTCATTATAATCTTATTATCTACCAGAATACTTCGCTATATCCGAGAATTCGTTATAAGCGATTATTTTAACCCTATCTGTTGCAAAGCTATTGGTCACTTACTTTATTATAACCGATAACCGTTATATCCAAATTCGCTATATCGAGGTTTTAATGTACATTCGATACTGTAAGTCCGTGGGCAATGTCAGTGGGAGCTGTATGATGCTTAGACTGTTATGCCCTAGAATGCCTTTGACTGCTATGTATGAGCAATACAAACACAATGAAAGCAAGGGGCTGTGCTTTTTGAGCTGAAGTGCTATCAAATGTTTGGTTTTTTAGGCACCCCAGACATGAAATTGAAAAATAATTGCTAGTCTGAAAGAAGAAAAAAAAAAGAATGAATAAATAAATGTCCCTTTAGAGTTGATCCCCTTTATAAAGGAGACTGATACAACAGACACTTTGGTATAACCGACACAAGTGTGCGTGCTGTGCCTTCGTTGTAATAGGGGTTCACAAAAAAATATAAAACATTGTACTTTAATTATACGAGACACCTTATACACTCAAGCCACGTATAATATATAGCCACTTTGTTATAAAGAAAGTCACACCTGCCACGAAAATACGTTTTATATCCAAAAATTCGTTATAATCCGATAATTCGTTATGCCAAGGTTTCAGTATGAAGGTAAGAATTGCTGCTTGGTGCATGTCTTATAAAATGGGCTCAAAAGTACTGCTCTAAATGGTTTAGATCACCACAACTATTTTCACCAGGGCTCCGATATTGGGTTAGAAATAAACCCAAGATTATTTCGGGGAGGTCTCTCGGCATACTCTTATTTCCAGCCATTCGGTCAAACACCAGATAAATCATTGAAGTTAAAAGAATGAAGGGCTGCGTGGCTGGCAGTACTGGAATTATAGAAGGTAAAGGGGGACAGCTGCCTTTCTGAAGTTTTTTTACCTACTTCCATTCCCCTCATGAACCTTTATATAGCATGCCTTATGGCCCTTTAGTTGGTCTTTTCAATTTAACTGTGCCCCTTACTGTTCATCGGGATAGGGACAAGGGCACCTTTGCCAACTGCATGGGAGTGCCACTTACATTTTTGGTATTTGAATCTTGTCAGCATCGGATGCCCGACTGAACTCTTGCCATGATCGCCGCATAGACTGCGAGCTGCCTGGCCGACTCCCACTGCTTGTTGTGCCGTTGGTTTGTTCAGGAGAGGCGAGGATTTGTGGTTGCCCGATGTCATATTCGAACATCTGCAAAAAAAGTTTTGGAAAGTGGCATGAAAACGGTTCTGTATGGTCCTGTTTAGAAGAGGTTTTCCGAATTTCGACGTGTCAAAGGAATATTAATCTCTCTCGTACTGCTCTCGCCAAATGAAACGAAAATGCTCTCTGTGAGAGTGGGGTCCAAACACACTATCAAACAAAGCTTTCTGTCTGTGTCACTCGTTTGGAACTTCTGCTCCAATATAGTAGAATGTCTGTGCACAATAGTGTGAACTTACCTGTGGCAGGCCTGTCGACTCCCTGGGCGTCATGGTCGCCTCACCTATCCCCGAGTCGGGCGAAGGCAGGTCCACGGTGAGCATACCGCTCTTATAACCGTTCACAACTGCTCCACCGTTTTGGCGGATGTAGCGATCTACAAACCCTGGCTCGGGCTCGACGTACGCGCCTGTGGCACTACCTGCTCCGCCAGCTGCCACAGCGGCTGCCACTAGGTGTTGCTGCCGCACTGCCTGCGCGTACTGGTCAGTGCCTGTGGTCGTCGCCGTCGTGTAATAGTCTACCCCGGTAGCGGCCCTGCAATGCAATGAAGGATGCATTTAGTTTCGAGCATTAGCATCTACCATGCCGTGGTCTGAGTCACTGTATAATGGGCTCCTGAAACAAGAGCAAGGGGCTGTGCACTGCCCGAGCTTGGTGTGCCGCCCCCTGACTACGCTACTATCAAGCTATAGACATTGTACCCGTATAGTTTAAGTAGCACATAATAAAGAGAACAAAGGAGACCAGAAAGGCACGACACTTTCGTACCCCTTGTTCTCGTCATAGTGCGCTACTTCAACTGTACGATATGATGATCAGTTGCCAACTAACCCAGCCAGAGTCCTTAGATATTTGTCTCTTCTTTCTCTAGTAGCGACAACCATTGAAGCACCATCGACGAATGTCATTGGGCAACGCTTGCTTTGGGTGGCCATGTTCTTCCTAACCATTTTTCAGCACTTCCTGAAACTGCTCCCACTCACTAATGACTGGGGATTAGCGAGCGTTCCCATATTTATTACTGAAAGGTGTGTGGGAGGGGTCAAAAGTTCCCAGGCCACGCTCCCTTAGGAATACATGGGAGAGTGGCCTGGTAACTTGCGACCCTCCTGTGCGTGGCGTCGTTCATCTAAGTTAGGAAGAACATGTCAGCGGACACCAGTTGTACGTAAAAGAGGGTTGGGAGAGGAGGCAGCTAGTTGTCGCTGCTTGGGTAAAAGAGAAAAACATCTACAGACATGGGGACTATAGGGCTGAAAGGCTGGCTTTCAACCCTGTAGAACTACGCACAGGCCCTGCACCGCGCTGCCTACCAAGCTGCTGAAATTAGGTGCCTTCTTCCTTTTCTAACCACTACCACCACCACCACCACCACTATAGACCGGTTATGTGTGCCATTCACCTGTAGTACTCAGTGGCACTGCTGGAGTAGACGGGCCTGGGTGGGCTACTGCCGCTCGAGAAGGTGCTCGTGGTCAGCACACTAAACAGGTCACCACCATACGGCTGCGCCGGCTGCACGGTGGCAAACACCGGAGAGTAGGGACTCTTGGGTTCGAGCAGGTCGTCCGACTTGGTGCCCTCAATGGCTTCCTGCTTGATGGTGATCACTGTGGCGCACACTTCCTCGGCCTTTGGCTCCCCGCTGAGGGCGGCAAGAGAGTCCGCACACGTGCCCCCTCCGCCGGCGTCCGGCACTTCGGGCTTGGGCAGGAAGATATCCTCCTTGCGGGCCGTGATGGCGTCCTCCGCCATCTGCACCAGGGCCGGCGAGACGTGGCCGCTCTTGACCACCGTCGTGGGCGGCGAAGAGGCAGACGTGGCTGGCACGCTCACGTTGTGCCTGTGCGACAGACTGGTGTCAAATGGCGCTACTTACTTCCACGAGTGGCCAAACTACCCGTACCGTGGTTGCACAACCACGTGGATGTGTATGTAGTATGTATTCCGCTACCATGGCCGTAGGCAGGGGGGGGTGCAAAAGGGCCACTTGCCCCCCTCATGCTACAATATATTTCATGTGAGCATACAAAAGAACAAGCTTACATCAGAATGCCTTGAATATATATCTATAGAAGGTATTCACTGAGTTCGTCCGGCCAGGTAGCACGAGCGAATGACTAAATACGGCCAACACACCTGTGCTAATTGTGCGACCAGAAATGCAATCTCGTTCGATTAGGAATACAAGAACAGCATACACGACCAAGCGCATTGGACCTATAATGGCAACTGCGTGCGACTACGACTGTGGCGCTAGACTATTTTACCTAAGACACATGGGCGCCGCCATCTTGGGCTGTGAAGTCGATGCTATATATTTTTTTTTTGTATATTGCGACCTGAATTCACATGCACCAGCCCAATTTTATTTATGCATGAACGTCTTGCGTAACACTGTTTAATTGTAAAAAAAGGTCAGCAGGCCCAACATGGTCATGGGGACTAACGCACTAGCGCCTTTTGCGGATGAGGTCCCGCAAATACATCCCATTGCAAGTCTCCCCAATCTAGAGGAAGTGAGCCAACTTCCGCAACGATTTTAACTGCAGCAGCTAGGAAGGAGGTGCACAGTCCAGTGATGTCACTTACGGCCATATCTCCGGCAAGGCGACGGCTCCCTGCAGCTGCTGTTGCTGCTTGAGTGCTCCAGCGTACTCGTACATGAGCGCCTGTTCCTCGTGGATGTTGAGCATGGCAGAGGTGGCCGCTGTGAGCGGGTGGTCGTAATATTGGCGCCACGTGACGCCGCCCGCCTGGCCGCTGGCCGCAGCCACAGCTTCACCGTCCTGCAACACAAGCGATCGATTGCGGGTCCATCTAACTGCTACCATCGTAATGAGAACTGACAACAATGCCAGGAAAAGTATAGGAGATGTTAGTGGAAGTAATGGTACTGTAAATGTGGTGAAAGAAAAGTGGACGAAAAGACGACTTGCCACCGGCAAGATCTGGACCTTCCACCTTGATTGATTGATATGTGCGGTTTAACGTCCCAAAACCACCATATGATTATGAGAAACGCCGTAGTGGAGGGCTCCGGAAATTTCGACCACCTGGGGTTCTTTAACGTGCACTGACATTGCACTGTACACGGACGGGCCTCTACCATTTCGCCTCCATCGAAATTTCGGCCGCTACGGGCGGGACCATCTTTCTTGCTTCGATTGCTTGGGTGTCCACCTCGGTGGTGTAGCGGTCGGAGTGCTCGACTGCCAGCCCAAAGGTCGGGGAGTTTCGATCCCAGCCGTGGTGGTCGCATTTCGCTGGAGGCGAAATGGTAGATGCCCAAGTACTGTGCGTTGTCAGTTCACACCAGATACCAGAGAGTCGAAATTCCAGAGCTCTCCACTGCGACATCCCTCATAATCGTGAGACGGTTTCGGGACGTCGGACACTAGGTCATAAAATAAAATTAGCTATTCTTGGTCGCCATGAAATGGCTAGTTTCAAATTCAGTACATGATGGAAATAGAAGCGCAGTCTTTTTAAAAAAAAAATGAAAGGTGCAGCCTTCTATTTCCGGAGGTAGACGTATTTAGGGGCGTAGCCAGGGAGTGGCACACTAGCACGTGCCCCCCCCTCCCCAAAATTGTTTTTCGACATGGAATAGAGAGCGAAAAATGGCCATTTTGAGGGGGTGCCCTTCCCGAAATCAAAATGGTGCCCCCCTACTCCCCCCCCTCCCAAAATGTCTGGCTACGCGCCTGGACGTATCTGTAGGCATAGAAGAGTCTTCGATCAAAATTTTGTTTCGTGTTTTTACCTCATTCAGAAAGCCTTCGAGCATTCCATTTCATCCCCGCCACAACACTGGCGTCTGGCGCGACATGGTTGGCATTGCCAAATACAGCCACTGGTCTACCATGGTGGACCCGATGGAAAACCATGCAGCCTTTCTGATTGGCTTAAAATGATGCCGTTACGAAATATGACAATACATCGAAATATGATTATCCCGAATGGCACCACGGAATAGAAAAGCTGTCTAATCCGCCTTTTACATCTCCCTGTGCTGCCCTCTGCCGTTTTGGGTAGCGGCTTGGGAAAATCCAGAACGAAAGCATAGCAGATCAAGGGGTGTTTCGCGTCTTTTTCGCTGAAGGGGTAAGGCTGAAAGCGCCATAGTGTCACAAAAAAGGCGGAGTATGAATGGCGACGGCGGATCAGTGGCGGGACTGGGTAATTTGATGCCTGTCCGCACGAGGCTTAACATACTCGTTAGGCCTAAGCTGGAAGCAACGAGGAAGACGTCCTTAATGAAACCTGCCTTAGCGAGGATGCCGTGCTGATACAGTTGCATCGTTATGGGATAATAATTATAATTCTTGTGGTTTAAAGTCGCAAAGCCACAATATGATTATGGAGGGCTCCGGTAATTTCGATCTCCTGGGCTTCTTGTTTAACCTGCACCGAAATCTGACCGTACGGGCATTTTCGCCTCCGTCAAAAATGCGGCCAGGCGGGTCAGCAGCCTTAGCCACTGGGCCACGGTGGCGGGTCATAATTGAGGTGAAAGGACCAAGAAAGAGTGATTGAGGAATGGGGGGGGGGGGGGGAATGGCATTTGTCACGTGGCTATACGCACCTGCAGGACCATGGTGGGTCCCGAGGCCGACATGCGCTGCCCGGCGTCAGGTAGCACGAGCGCAGCGAGCTGCTGCTGCTGGTCGGGTCCCTCGACCAGCACCAGGGCCACGTTTTTGACGCACCCTTCGTCGTCGTCCGGGTCGCCGGTGACGCTGACCACAGTCCCTGTGGCGCCGCCGACGAGGTTTGCCGCGGCCTCGACTTCGCTACCGCTCACCACCGCCGAGGACGCCTCCTGCGGCTTTGAAGACAACACGATCTTTGAAGAAAAGAAACAGGCAACCGTGCAAGGTTCTGTGTCGCGAATATACATGCACGTATGTCGACGACTATCTTTACGACGTTGCAAGCGCTAACTCTGGCACAGGTATATATGTCGGCGCGGCTTTCTCTCAACTGCGGTGGTTGACTTCGTGGTTGACTTGTGTCATTTTCAACGCACGCGGCGTACAGTTCTCGGCCTTCGTATACGTGTGTGATGACTGCTGCTCCGTTAACGCGTATCCACTTGCTAAAAGAAATTCAGCACGGCCAACTCGGAGGGACCCAGAGAGAGCGGCAAAGAAAAGATCAACCAGTAAGCCTCCAGTTGACTGCTCAGTGCTGGTGAAATCGGTATAAAGGAAAGATAAAGAGTGCACGATCATACTTCAAGACTGGTATAGTGTGTGTTTAATTCACAACGCGTTGTCACATTTGTTGTCAATATATGCTAAAATCTGTAGAGGATGGCTGTCGCTCTGACAGGTCACTGTTCCCTAAAAAGCACTGCCCTATGACAGCGCGTTCCTCGTCAGGGCGCTATCGCTGTTTGGGCACGTGTGCTGCACGTCCTCATAATAGAACTCGCACTCGATGATCGCATTCAGAACCAAAAAACGGGCCGCCTCGCCGCACAGCTTCAAACAATGGGTACGGCACGTGTGGGGTATAAACAACCCATGCGCGGACCACTTTGCTTCGTCATTTCCAACTAAGGCCTTGTTCGTTACAACGAAACAACCGTATTTAATTGTGCTTTGTAAAGCTTACCACGTTCGCACGGACTCGCGTGCGCTCTGCAGTCGCTTTTCCTTTCGTGGCCCACTGTGGACGCATCTTCTCGCGAACAAACGCCATTTCTAGGCGCATAGGTGGTCGATTAGATCAGCGACTGATATAGCAGCTGGCCTACGCTGACAGTGTATCTGTGGACGATTTGCTTTCGCCTTTGCGCAGGGGGATTCCTATCGTAAGCGGCGGGCGCCTATCTTGTCAGGCCATCGTGCCGCGTTCTGTAAGCTCATAGCGCGTCACATGTGTGGGCCGCGAATAACGGGCGGCAAATCACCGCAGTGCTCTCGGTTAGGGCGCCCTGGATAGGTGCGGAAGCAAGACGACTAAAATCCCGTTCACGAGGATTCGCGCACAGCCATTTGGCCGTAAACGGTGTCAAAAGGTAGAATCAGGCTAAGTGCTAGAAGTCTGATCGAGTGCCGGGGATCGACGTTGGACCGAGGCAGGTTCAGCGGACCTTGGGTAAGTGTGCTGCAACAGTTTCAGCACCTCTCGTTGAAACCGTTGCACTAACGCCGTTCGTGTTGTCTCGGCTGACAAACAGCGTTTGTGTTGCCTGCTTTTACGATCATAACTTATAGCTTCTGTCTGTCGTGCTGCGGAGTGGCAATTAAAGGAATCGTTGCGAAGTTTTAGGGGGGAGCTTGTTAATGGACTAGTTGGTATAGCGGGAATAACGTTTGTCGAGACGGGTCTGTCGGCCGTTTCAGCCGCCCTTTCCTTTTTTTTTTTTTTTTTTGCAAATTTGCGCTGAGACCAATATCGTAATGGTACCAATCGTAGTCATACCGCATGCTATTTTAAGCGTGGGTGGGAAGCTTCTACATAACGCCTGATAGCAGCTTTGGGTAAGGCCGTCGTCCACAGCCATGCATGGTCGACCGCTCTTGCGAATTAGACTGTACACAGCAAGTTCCAGTGTCCAGTCACTTTTCTGGTGCTGAGGAGACTAAACGAGGAAGACCATTGGGCAAAGTGCTGTGCACAGTATTTCGATGTCTTTGCAATTGCGAGTGCACTGCCCGATGGTAGCTTAGAAGCGTACGTTTTATCCGGTATGGACACAGCTTTTCACCACGTTAGTACGCAAACGTGGTGGCTACGATGACGAGAGTACTCGGCATGTTAAGGGGCGTAACCTTGACGTTGTTCAACTCTTTTTTTCCCTAAACCCGATTGTAGGTAATGCAATTAACTGGTTGCTCAGTGCAAGGTGGGCCTTGAAGCCATGCTCCTTGTTTACAGGTTCTTCATTGTGATACAGGCGGATTTCATATTAATTTATAATGTGATCGGTGCATGTGACTCTGTCCAACTTCCCGATGCCCGCAGGTAGCGGGATCGAATCCCAGCTGCGGCGGTTGCATTTTCGATGGAGGCGCGAATGCCGTAGTCCCGTGTGCTCAGATTTGGGGTGCACGTTAAAAAGCCCCCAGGTGATCGAAATTTCCGCAGCCCTCCACTACGGTGTCTCACAAAATGATATGGTGGTTTTGGGACGTTAATTCCCACATATCAATCAATCGATCAACTTCTCGACATACCAGAACCCCAAGTTGACCAACACGATAACCCCTGTCACATGTGGCCTGGGTGCATTCTTGCCAAATCAAGCCACACGCTTACTGAAGCGTAATAAAGTTCATCTTGCCAAATTCCAGTTGCAGGTCAAGTGATCACACCCTGTTGAGGTGTAAAAAAGATTCGCTTTCGGTTTGTATCTAAGCGATCGTGCTCCCGCTGGTTACATGGGAGCTGGAGACACGTTCTTTGGACGTCAAGTTGAGGTGCCAATAGTGGACGTTCTTTGGACGTCCACTCTTGGGACCTCAGCTGTCGCGTGTGACGAGTTTATGTCGATCCGGTTGAACGAATCATTTAGGAAAGCACAGGAACTCGTGCATGTGAGTGTGTGGGGGCGTGCGCATCGCGTAGACGCTCCTCACCTCGTGGGCGGCTAGTTCTCCGATGGGCTCGGGCGCCTGCAGCGCCGCTAGGGTGGTCCCCGAGGTGCCGGGCAGCACGACCAGGGCATGCGCGGTTGCGCCACCCTCCGCTGGGGCGCCACTGCATCGGGGGAGAGAGAAAACGAAGAAAGAACAGCAGAAGTTAACGCTCAGCCAGCGCAGTCGTGGAGCGCTTATAGTTGACGTACAGTCATACGCGCCGAGTGTACAGTTAAGTATGTAAAGCATCATCAAGGATTCTTCACAAGGGTAAGCGGAGGGCGCACACTCCTAGCGCCCTTTCCCTCAGAATGGTTGAGTCCGAGAAAAAAAAAACGTCTCCATAGATGCAAAATTGAAAATGCAACCGATGACGTTCGGCTCATCACCACCTACAACTTTCGTCCTTAGCTTTTCGATGGTAACGGTGACAAATAAAGCTTCTAATTATAACAATGAAGTCCCTGACACCAAGTGCCTGGCCAACACTATCGCCCGTGCATGACCTTAATTTTGCTCTTACAACACTGTGTTTGACATGCCTGACTGACTGATTAAGGCGGTGGGGTTGCGGGATCACCCCCTTGATTATATGACCATTGATTACCTTGCGTAATATGATGCGCTCAGTGTGAGGGAGCTTTGCGAACCTCCACCAAAGTCTTAACTCCCGTGCTTCCAATTGGGCGAACAGTTAACAAACGCTTTATGAAAGGCTTCAAACTGTTTCTATACGCTACCGGGTTAACGTACTCTAGCTTATACACTGCTTATACAAAACACTTCTCGGAAGGGGGGGGGGGGGCATTTCGTTTTTGCGGCTTCGTTGCAACACCGTGTCCCGAGCTTCCGTGTTCCCAACACGATGTACCTTGTGGAAGGGGGGGGGGAGGAGGGGGGTTAACGTTATAGTCCGAGCGATCGTTGCTCTCTACAGATTGACCATTTGTGTGGTTGCGTTTCAGAGGCGTCTCACTAATAATAAAAGAAAAAAGGGCAAAGAAATGAAAAGATCTGAGTATAGCGTTCGGGGTTGAAAGATGCCTTCCGCGATTATGGTTCCTGTTAAGACAGATGCATTAAAAGATGCCTTCCGCGATTATGGTTCCTGTTAAGACAGACGCATTAATCTCTCTACCAGGCCCGAGAACTAATACTAATTAGTGGGGGTTGGATGCTGTGTAACAAGTCACTTCCAGATTAATGATCCAGTTCGCCGAGGTCGTTTTTTTTTTTTTTCATCTTGGCCCGCTCGTTCGCGAAAGTGGCCCCGTAGTATACACGCTCGTTGCTTGTCCTAACCATTTATAACCTGTTGCGTAAGCTGTAGAAGTAGTTAGTTGATTTGCAGCTTTAAATTGTTCGTGCATCCGTGAAGCACGCGAGCGTGCGATTCTGGCAGATCGTTTTCTTTTTTTTTTTTGCATGTTTCTGGATTCATACGAATGAATGGCGTTTATTTTTTTTTTTTAACTTGAGTAACGTACGTAACGACGCACTTAGGGTTAGCGGCCAAATGTTGAGCTCCCTTGCTGACGCTGATTGAAAAGATCACCGAGGTAGGAAGGAACGACATTTTTAGGTTGTACGAAGGCATGTTTTAAAATCGATTGTGGTATTGAAAAATAATGTTGCGCGTAGTCAAGTGTCACAGAAGGCCAACGCCTTCTGTTATTGAGATACAAGAGTGTCAACGACACCCTTTATGCCGCTGTGGCTGCGGTTGTTTCCTCAATAAACTCCCAACAAGTTGTACGGTTCATTCTGATGCAACAGCAGAGCAGAGAAGCGCACTCCTTTGGAGCCGTGTGAACACGCCTTCAACTGAGGAGTCATTTGTGAAGAGATGCAGTTATACTTTCCCGAAAGATTACCGCAGTTGCCCTTGCTTCCAGAATATGGGCAATTCCGTCGTGTTGAACACCAGCTGAGCAAGCGCACTCCCGTTCGAATAGTCGTGAAAACTCTCCAACATGGGAGTGACTTGTGAAGGACAACAGTTACTTCCTTAGAAGGGCGTAAAAAAAGCACTGTGCAGAGTAATTTTGACACCCTTTGGAAGAAGGTGTCTTCATTTATGTAAGTAACGCCTTTTCTGGAGTCTTCGTGGAGTAAAAGAGCGCTCCGACATGGAAGTCGCTTGTGATGGTCAACGGTTACTCCCTCAGGAATGTTGTCAAAAACACTCTGAAGGGTGCTTTTGATACTAATCGAAGCTCGTCACCCCCCTTTTTTTTAAAGCAAAGGACACCCAGTGTATAAGCAATGACCAACAGTCCTTGAAGCAATGACATGATTTTGCTTCTGGAATCATACAGCTGCCTTGATGAAGAAATTCCTTTTTTTTTTTTCTGGTCCCGTCGGTCGTGATGTGGGCGGGACACTCTCGAGCATTTTCTTGGCGGACAGTTCTATACCCCGCTCGGAATGAACTCCCGCGAAGTGGCATTTGTTTACATACGCATATATAAAGGCCACGCGTTTCTTTCTTTCTTTCTTTTACGCACGTGCGAAGTTGTTTTCACGCTGGGTCCTCCACGGTTGAACTTCACGTCACGCACCCCTTCCAGACCTCTTACGCTCCTCACGTCCCTGAAGCTACACGCCCCCCCCCCCCCCCTGTCTCCATATTTCTTTTTCCTTCAATTATTTCGCCTGCTCTCTCTCTCCAGTTGTTTGTCTTTACGCCGAGCCTGAAGATGGCAATCAGTTGTCGTCTTGAGCCTTTTTGTGTGTGTTTTTATAATACCGTGGGCACGGCGTCTGCAACCCCCTCTGTCGGTTGGGCGGCGCGGCCCGGGCAACGTTGTATGCCTCGGACGACAGCGTTCGTTCGTCATCGCCTACCCCCCCCCCCCACCCCCACCCACTTTTCGCTTATTTTATTCTTACAGTCCCAATCACTTCATCTCTGCCTTTGCCTCCCGCTGAACTTCCTGCTTATATTTATACCCCCCTCTCTCTCTCTTTCGTACATCTTCCCCGATCTCAGCACAGTCTTCTATCTCTACTCCCCTCTTTTACTCTTTCTCTACGCCTCCTCGCCTATTTTTACTCTTCTAATACACCTTTTGCGAATTTCCTCGCAGACTTCTATTTCTGCTCCCCTTTCTACCCTTCCTCTCCACCTTCACCCCCTCTTTTTTGTACTTATACACCTGCTGCAAATCTCAGTAAAGGCTAATAATCTTTTTTTCTCTATCGCTCCCCCCCCCCCCCCCCCCGCACCGCGCGTTGGACTTTCCATACAACTGCTACAAACCGCACCGCTGGCTAATTTATCTCTCTATCTCTACTCCTCTTCACCCTCACTGTGCTCCCCCTCTCCACCCAACATTCATGCACCTCCTGTTGTTCGTCTGAGTGTCCTCTCTCCCTCCGGACTTCACCGCCGCAGCATTTTTCTCACCGTGCCGCGCTTGCCGAGCGTGGTCCCCATTGCCTAATCAATCTTCCGCCAAGGGACGCATTGGCGGAGCAGGTGCATATGCACGGGATTCTGCCCGCTCGCTGCCATTGGCCCCGCGTGCACCCGTGGCCGCCAGCGTCTATTTTGCCAGATCGTGCGTATGCGAGAGATAAGAAGGCGTATAAATTTTCTGCTCCTTCGCAGCGGGAGGGAAGAGCGGCGCTGTTTCCTTCTCGTTTATCCGTATTTCTTTAACCCCTTACCCCCCTCGTGTATCGCCTGCGGCCTCGCGCTCCGATATGTCGGACTCCTCTCAGATCACCGCCGGCGTCAAACATCTCTGAGGTCAGCGTTATTCTTAGTTTTTTTTTTTTTTTGAAGCTCTTCGTTTAGTTTCGGAATCCGTTCGTTCGCATTAGTAAAGGATGTGAATTGCAAGATATGAATATCGCTTGGAGAACTTAAATAAGGATCGCTTAAGAGACAGAGATGGAATCTCCTGGTACACCTTCAGGTCGTTGCCTGACGAGTGGCATCTAAAACGTGTCGGTCATGACGTCAAACGTTGCTTAAAGATGCCCCTGTCACTTTTTTTTAATGGAATTTTCACCTCCTTCGTGTGGTCTTCTACAGAACTGGGTTTTTTTTTCGCTGTACACTTTGAAATTTCGCCATGTTGTCAAATCTTGTGATGATGATATTTGAGGCCAATGAGAGAGGATGTAGCAGCTCTCTGGGTCAATCAGTGTGGACGAATGCCGGGAATCGAAAATGCTAAGAATGTCTACAACCCCTCATTTGTGGTACAGTCAAAGAAATTGGACGAAGTGGTTAAGACTATTACGTCGTGTCTTTTATGCAGCTATGACGATGGGAGCGTTACGTGCAGTGATTATGATAAGTAATGTATGTGTTTTTAAAATATACCTAACAATCCGCCGGTGGGGTAGATCAACTCAAAGCAAGATTTCGATTCCACGAGCTATTTCGTCCTACTGCGCACAAGAGATGTGTACCTCGCGCACTTTGAAGCTCATTCAGTGGCATTCGCTCAACTTCTCAAAAGTGACTAATGGTACAGCCAAGTGGCTGTTTGAAAACGCCCCGATTGTTTTTGAAAGTAACTAATTCAAGAGCTTCAAAGCTCCACAACCAGACTAATCAGCTATGCGACTCATGTTCCTCCCTCGTAATGTATACTGGCCCGCTTATTTCAGTAGTAATGCTCGGTTGACATTTCGATCAATTTTTCGAGGAGCCTCCAGAGTGAGCTTCAAACAACCATGCGAGTGTACCAGGCGTTTATCGTTAGCCAACGTGCGCGCGGGCAGCGGCGAATGATGAATCGTCAAAATAAGCCCGCGCGGTGAAGAGAAAACTTGTGATAAATGACCGCATTCGCGACAGAACGAACTACAAGACGAGCGAACGCTAGGCTGCCGACTCGTTCGATTCAGTCGGGCGCCATTTTTTTTTTCTGTTTATTCGAAGCGCCAAACTGGCGGCCGCTCGGGGGTCTCTCACGTATGCCGATAAGCGGCGGCGTTGCCGGCGACGTGGATAGATGAAAGAAAGCTCCACCGTCGCGGCTAGAGTGTCTCGATGGCAGCGCCCCAGGAGGGGGGTGGCGAACTAGCGCATCGAGGCGCTCTAGTCGCATGCGCAGCGACCTCAGCCGGCGACCATGGCGGCTACATCTAGTACACTA